CAGCAGGAGAACTAAAGTACTGTTTGTCTTAACCTACGGCCTGAAACTACTGGAGAAACAATGTCTTGTCTACCCTTTGTAGTTTGACATATGAGGCTTTTTTTCCAAAACTTCTTTTCCAGGACTAAGAAAGATGTTAAAATAAATGAAGTCTTGAAAATTCATAATGCTGCAGGAGACTAACACCATCTTGCCTTTTTACATGTCCTCCTTCAGTATTTCTCTTAGAGTGATCACGTAGTTTAGAGATGAATTTTGTAGTAGTATTTTTCTGTACGTAACTTCATAATTTTTTTAATACTTAAAAGAAACACATTTAGACAGAAAATAGAATAACTTATTTCACATTGTGACTATTTTTGCCCCTGCCCTTTTTTTTTTTTTTCTTTCAAGAATATGGTATTGGCAGATGCTTTATCACCTTGTCCCGTTTCCCTTAGTCATTTATTCTTGTATTTCTTGGCTTTTCAATACCTCCCAGATTTTCAGCCATAAGTTAGAATAGTTGTTTGGTTCATGTTCATTGAATCTTCCTGACAGTGTTGTTTGAGGCAAGTCTCAAAAGGCTGAGATGACTTAATACAAAATGTGACTTGAATCAATTACTGTAGCAAGGATTGGTGTCACTTATCGCATAAATTCATATAGTGTATGTCTTTACTTGGTAATATTTATATGTAAATAATTTTTATTTTTCATTAATATAATCTCATTCCTTCCTGCATTTGTTGTTCATAGTTATAGTACTGTTTTACACAGAATACACTATTTACTAACTGCAGGTTTTTTACAGTTGTTGTAATGGACAAATACTTACTCTGTGTCAGTAAAAGCTGGCATGTGAAATAGAGAGGCAAAAATTGTATTTCACTCGCTAAATGTTGTTGTTCTGTCCATAAATCTACCAAACAAAAATCAGCATAAATACAGTTCCAGTTTTATTCCATGGGCTAACGAAGAAGGCAATCCTGTTGTGCTACACTCACCCTACAGAAAGAGAGGGTTTGGTAAGGAAGAGGGGGAGGGTGGATGCTTTTGCACATGGTAGGTAGATTATGGGAGAGTAAGCAAAATAGTTCTCAGTTGTCTTGGAACTTTGTACTTTTTATTTACGGGGAAAGACAGTGATGGTTTTCTTTTTTTCTCCCTTGCTGCCTGGGTGGTCTTCAAGGGCTCTTTCTGTGAGTTTATGTAGGAGGTGAAAAACTGTGGAGGCTTTTGCTGATGAAGATTCTAATTATTTTCATGTATTCATAATAGGTACAAATACTTAATGTGGAAGACAAGCGTGCAAGTTTATTCAAATTCTGATTTTGAATGGGATTACATATACTGGCACAATATGTGTTTTGACTGCGGCTCAGAAGAGTATTATTACACAGGCCTTTAGATGCCTTATAAAGCCCTTATCAACACAGAGGGCTATGTGCAACTCTGTAGTCTGCTTCCACTGTGGCTCTGTAGCCTTTCACACAAGCTGCTGTGGCATTGTTTTCCAAAGCCTCTGGGGCAGAGGTTTTCCCTCTTTCTTGTGCTGTTACTGTCATAGCCTTGTGTCATGGTTTAGCCCAGCAGCTGGCAACTAGGCACCAGACAGCCACTCTCTCACCTGTCCCCTTCCCCCGCAGTGGGATGGGGAGGAGAATTGGACAAAAGGGAAAACTCATGTGTTGAGCTACAGACAGTTTAATAAGACAAGAAAGGAAATAATAATAATAATAATGAATGTGCAACACAAACAATAACAGTACAGTTTTCTCACTGCCTGACGACCAATTTGCAGCCAGTCCCTGAGCAGCGTTCATGGAACCTGGAACTTGTGAATTTCACAAATTTCACAAAATCCCAAAAAAAGACAGAACTGGAAAAGTTCGAACTCCTAGACAAGAGAGGATTTCAACTCATGGAATAGAGAAAGAGCCTCCTGCCCCCCAACGAGCCCCCATCCATAAATGGAGCATGGCGTCCATGGTGTGGAATGTTTCCCCTGCCCAGCTTGGGCTAGCTGCCTGGCTGTGCTCCCTCCCAGCTCCTGCACGCCTGCTCATCAGCTGAACATGGGAGACTGGAAAAAGCCCTCAATTTCATAGCAACAGCTGAAACCATCAGCATTATCAACATCCTTCTCCTGCTAAATCCAAAACACAACAGCTACTGGGAGGAAAATTAACTATCCCAGCCTAAACCAGGACACCTTGCTACTGAAAACCCTGATGTTGTTGTGATAATGTGGTCACCAATGGTGCGAGAATCACCTCTTCTCTCCCCGCCCCCCCTTTTCCTCCCCTTCACTTGCAGCTTTTGGGTTAAATTAAGGGAAGCAAGCTAAGCAGCAACCAGCATGCAGCACCAACCTCAATCCAAGTGTGTTCCGATCAGTGCCGATCATGCTGTAGGTGGAAACAACCAATAGAGTGTTTGAGTGGCTCCTCATGAAAAACAGTGTAGTTGTATGGGAAAACTGAATGGCAGGACCCTCCTGTCGCTTCTGTTCCCTAAAGGCTATTATGGAAATATTCCCTTTCCTCCTGCCCCTTTCCCTGCATTTCTTGCATTTTTATCTTCATTTCGGATCATAGAAGCACAGCCTGTTGAGAATATGGAGAGGCAAGATGAACAGTGCTAAGGTAGAGTGAGCTGTGCTGTTGACAGATTAGCCCATTTTGGTTCAACAAGTTGTTGAAATTGCCTGAATTTGAACAAAAACTAGTTTCCTTTCTGCATAGCATTTACAGTTTTGAAGTTAGCTTTTTAACCAGCAAGTGTAAATGAATGTTAAAAATGTGTAGAAAAACTTCTCTGGGGTTCATGTTAGAAAAAGAGTGGACTGAGCTTGCTGCTCTTGTCAGAATTTTGCTGAAAATGAGCTGGAAGTACTGAAGGAGGGATATCTTGCCTCCTTATCTCTGGAAAAAGTACCAGTTCAGATCTCAGTTTATACTGTGGGGAAAAGAAACAACATCAGCATGAGGGGCCCTTTTTCTCTGTGGGACATCTCCCAACAGATACAGGTCTTTCAGGTGTGTTATTTGGGAGAGTCCAGAAGACTCAATTGCTGATGTGTTTCACCATATTCTGTGAAGTCCTGCCTTCTCTGCCCATTCACAAGGCTTATTTTACTTGTTCGTATTTGCTTTCTAACTTTTAGCCCTCAGTGTTTCTAATGTATTTTCTTCTCAATTGCACTAATGCATTACATTTTTCCCATAGCTGCAGAGAATTAAAACCTTACTGGTGATGATGTGTCTGAATTGAAAGTGACTCTTGTGGAGTCCCAACACGTATATGAGCCAGGCTGCTGTGTATAGGAACAGTGGCATTACAGATGATTCATTTTTAGTGAAGATGTCATTTGATACATAAACTCTGCAAAATTAAAACTAACCTGATGTCAATTTTTGAAACATTTCAAACCCCTTGAGACTAGCACCTCACCCACGTGTTTCCTGTTGAGTTCAAGCCTCTAAACTGAAACTGTTTTGTAAAAATAGCTACGTTGTGTATCATGCCCTGGGGGTCAACAGGAAAGATTCCAGCATTAAAAAGATACTGTGGGCTATTTTGCTGAAAGCAGTAGAATATGTTCTCAACGAAGTATGTAATGTTTTACCAAGCAACTCCCACGAGTGCCGATGGGAATTACAAAGGCTAATACTTGCATGTCAGATTGACAGTTAACATTTATATCATTCTAACCTAAAATATGAATTCATAGTATTTAAGTACATGATATGAGAGTGTAACTTCGGGACTTGCAAAAAACACAGGAAAAATTGGAAGGAGAAGAAGCATTGTTATCAAGGGTTTGGCCAAGGGAGGAGAGTGAGACAGTGCTTTTGTTCCTTAGAAACCTGAATAATTTTGAGAAAAGCTTACTTTTAAAACTCTTCCATGTGAAAGAAGGTATATTGTTATAACTAAATTATTTCACTTAATCCTTAAGCTTTTTCTCATATCTTACTGAGAAATCATTGTGAAGGTAGCTATGCATTAGTGGGTATTAGTGTAAGATCTGTGTAACCTTCTACTGATAAGTTTGTGTTTAGTCATTCAGATCTTCCATCCTCTGTATTCCTCTCTTCCCTACCTCCCCCCAAAACAGAAAGCTGTACTTAGCTGGTCATATCTTTCTATTTAGAAGCACACAGAGTGTAGATTTTTGAACACTGTAGGTTCCCTTTTAATGAAAGTAGGAATGTTTTGATTTTTTTAATCCATACACCTATACCAGATCAAAGACAAGTAGTTTTCTATCCCTCTCTTTCTCTTTGTTAATACCAAAGATTTCCCTATACAACATAAATTATTTTCTACATTTTAAAATGAAGTTTTCACACATAAGTTAATATGAAAAAACAAGTTTATAGTTTTTATAATTACATTGGATTAGGTAGAATATTTTGTTCTTTTTCTGTGTTAAGACCAAAAGGAAAAGCTGATGCAAGAGAACAAAGACCTGCAGTTATGCTACCTGGAACATAAGAAACAACTAGAAGAACTGAAAAATCTCGTGAAGTTTTTGACCAAGGTGAACTCTATTTCTGTTTAGAATATGAGCAAAAAAACTCATGCTATGTTTTATGCATAGTGCAAATAATTCTTGAAAGTAAAAGAATACAGAAATAGAACAGTGTTTATTCATTCATGATACCAAGCAAAATGTCATGTCTAGTGATTCTGAATGTATTTCTTCAATATTCATTCACATCTGATAACTCCTTTTCATTAAGTATTTCTGTTTCAGGAAGGCAATATCGATGTGGCAGAACTCAGTGAAGCCCTGTCGCTTATAAAGGTGACTCACAAAGAATGAGCATGCGGGGGATTGGAACTAGATGATCTTTAAGGTCCCTTCCAACCCAAACCATTCTATGATTCTATATATTTTGCAGTTATTCTATTTATTTATTTGTTTGTTTTAAGCCCGTCGTTGACTATTACATGTTTTCTACACAATGCCTGGGATTTTGAAGGGCTGAATTTCTGCATCTTTTAGTAGGTAGTGCTTCAAGCTCACATGTGTCCTTTTGTCATTTTTCAGTTACAGTGAAGCAGTACTTCTGTTTGTTTATTAAAACAGAAAACCCAAAATACCCAGAAAATGTTCTATTTTTTTCTCTTGCACGGAAGCTGTAATTTTATTGTTTACAGCAAAATTGAAAATGAAGTGGGAGTAGGGGGAAGAAATCAGTGGAAACATAAGATTCCCCTGTTCCAGTGACTTATCTTTTATTTTCTTGAGGAAGTGTTTACTGTAAATAGATTTTTTTTTTCTGCTACTGAAATGCAAATGGTAGTTCTATAATGATAATGAAAAAAAGAAAGCAAAAAAAAAACCCCACCCCGAAACCTATATGGAAATTAAAACCCCAGTATTAATAACAGAATCAATATGGACTTGAGAATAATAATTCAGGTTTTGTACATTCACTGAAGGAGGATTATTAATTATATAAAAGGCAAATATATTAAGGGGTTTGTATTTTTATTAGATAGACAGGAGTGATTGCATCCAAACATTTCGTACATTTTAATTGGTTCCTGATAATCATGAGATTACATTACTGAATACATTCCTGACACTGGTCTACCTCATTCCTATTTTTTGTGTTAACGCATGCTCAAAATTTACAAAGTTAAGCTTACTGTGGTGTTGTTGTTCCAAAATTATATCCCATTGTTACATTTAACTAGGCACAAATACATACAAATATTCTGCAGAAGTTTGTTCTAGTAATTTTTTAACTTTTCTCCAGATTCAAAAGCAGCAGAAGAATGGGGACCTTATGTTTTTGGAAAAAGTAGATGATGATATCCATAAAGATGTCAAACGCTCCATGCGGGAGCTGCAAGTAACACATGCAGAAACAGTGCAAGAACTGGAAAAGACAAGGAATATGTTAATTGTGCAGCACAAAATTAACAAAGATTACCAGGTATTACACTCTACTCACCGTGGAAAATAACCATAATAACATTTTAACATTTGTAGCACTGGAACTTGTCATAATTAAGACTTGCATATTCAGCAACAAAGCCAATCTGTTTATAAGTATCATAGTTTAACCCAGTAGCTGGCAACTAATATAACGTAACAGAAGATTTACTGTTGTTGAAAGTATTGTTTAAAAAGAGTGAGATCCAAATGACTGTAACTTTAATCTTAACTCACCCTGATCTGAGCCCTCAAATCATGCCTCCTTGGGATTCTCTCTGAGCTAAGTGCAAGGGTAGTTATCAGGTAAGCTTCCTTTTCCACAACAGTCTGCTTTTACTCTCTTACGCTGGATTATTCCAGATCATATTTTGACTTTTAATTCAATTAATCTAAGTTTAAAATAGCAAAATCATTAAAGAAACTATTAGGAACATTGTCCTGAAAGAATACCTAGTCTGTTTTTCTTAATCATGTTTTTAGATTTTTGCTGAAATTCAAACTGATTGCTATATTGCTGAATTAAAAATTGCTGCTGCTTTTGCATACTCTAAATGTTCTTTCCTCAAATATAACTATTTTAATTTGTAGCCAAAAGCATGTGCAGCATCAGTGCAGACAAGCCTCAGAAGTCCTTTTTACGTGCAAATTTTTTTCAGACTGAAGTAGCAGCAGTGACACAAAAGCTGGAAAGTCTACAGAAAGACTGTGAGTTCAAACTGGAACAGTATGTCCATCTTCTTGACATTAGAGCTGCACGCATCAGAAAACTGGAAGGTATCTTTAAAGTATATTCTTCTTTAAGTTTTTATATATTTTATCTCTTGCAAACTGTTGTTGTAAGTTTGTTCTTCAGTTGAAAGTCAGTTCCTTCATGGAAAACTATCTGTGTTGCTATTTCATTGACTGAAACGATAAAGTTATTAATCAAACAAAATTCAACAAAGCAGTTTATGTGGCAACTATTGCTGAATGAGGAAAAAAAACTACCAAGCTTAGATTTATTTTTTTTCCCTCCAATAAATCATACATTTCTGGTCAATCTTTTATTTTGCTGTCCTATTGTTACATAATCATTTTATGTGTTGCTAAATATCCCAAAGTCATGCTATAATACACTTACGGAATATTTCAATATGATTAATTTAAAATGCTGTTTTAGTGGCTTCGATGTGTAAAAGGTGCATAGGAAGCCTGAAACAGGATACCTTACAAACCCCAATGTCGTAACAATTTTCATGTTTTGTTTCCAAGTTGCATCCCCTGTACTAAAGGACTGCCTAATGATTTTATGTCCTAATTCTGTAAGCATGTATTTTGATTTGTTCACCGTTTACCACCTGTGAGGCCAGGCAACATGTAAAGGTCTTTGTTGGTAGTTCTGTCCACTCAGCATATTACAGAGGTTAAAATATGTATCTTAAGTCTCTGCTACATTTGCATGGTGATACTTATTTTGATCATTGCATAAGACTTCTGGATTTTTGCTTGTTAACTCCCTTGTAATCTGTTATTAATTGTTACAGGGCTGTGTCTATTTTTGTGTACATTGAAGCAGCTCCATTGTGGAGGTATTCTTGATTGATGTCAGTGTGCTAAATGAGCGGTAGATACATGATTTTAAATGTGCTATTTCTTTTTTGGTAATGTCTTCAAGAAAGTAACTTTATTAATTGCATTATGCTTTTGTCCTCTCCACTCAGTCATTAATTGTATTTGACTTTTAAACAAGGCAGTCGTATTGCAGCTCTGTTTTATTTGTTGCAGCCCAACTAAGCGATATTGCCTATGGTACAAAACCACGTAAATCCAGGCCAGAAGTATTGCCAGGTGTTCCCATGGATGAATTTGACGAAACTTTATATTTAGAAAGAGGAGAGAACCTTTTTGAAATTCATATCAGCAAAGTGATCTTCTCTTCTGGAGCTATGCACGCTTTTGGTGACGATGAACCTGCAACTTTTTGTACTTATGCATTCTATGACTTCGAACTTCAGATAACCCCAGTAGTTTATGGGCGTACCCCATCATACAACTTCACTTCTCAGTATCTTGTGAAGGCCGATGACTGCTTCTTGCACTACATAGAGCAAAACAGTATCACACTTGAGGTTCATCATGCATATGGCATAGATTATGAAACAGTTGCTGCATGTCAGCTGAAGTTCCATGAAATCTTGGATAACAATGGGAAGATCTACAGCACAGCAAATTTAATTGGTAATTAACATATCAAAAACTGTTCTGTCTGAGGCAGTATTGTGACAATTAAGTAATGCATATTTGGCCAACAATGAATTAATGTATTACTACTTCAAAAGGGAAAGAAAAAAAGATTTACACAACATGATATTTTCTGTTGGACGTGCAGCATGTTCTGGTGATTCTATGAGCAGTTGTGAGAAAGCTCTGACAGGTGCAATTTTGCCCATAATGGCTGAGGACAAAGATGGTGTTAATACCTGTGAAGTATGTGATATTATAAGTGTGTGACATGCTGGAAATGGCATGAGAGAATCTCGCCTGAAAATAGCAAGTCATGCTTTGTCTTGTATAAAGGTTACTTGCAAAGTGTTAATACTACACAGGTAAAGAATTTTAATAAAAGATATGATCACCTTAATCAACAGAATTATACTAAAACAACATGGAGAAAAGTAGTTAGTAGAGCAGTGTACTTGATTTCATTGTAGTACTATTCATATGTTAGAATTCCTCTATGAATACTGTAGAGAAGACATTTTAAAATAAGACTGATATTTGATTTCATTTTGCTTTATTATATGTTGTTAATTGTGTTTTTAGTTGTTTAATGCAAGTTTCTTTAATCCTCTGAGACTGTTAGTGATACAAGGAGGCTCTACTTATTTCAACTGTGAAACATACAGTAATTTCAGTGAAGTCTTCTAATATATGTAAATGAAATTAAATTATTCTACTTTGCATATGCAATTTCTCTGTTTGGCAGTTCATACATTAAAATCAAAAACATTTCTGCATTATAAGACTGCCAAGTACCAGTGCTTTGTATCTGACCCAAGCGTCATAAGTATATCCCCTTGTTCCTTATCAATAAATAAAGGAAGAAATGGTTACAGTAGTTGTAATTTAAACTGGTAAGCCAAAGGTCTTCATATAGTAGTCGTAAGGCATCAAAAAGTTGTGAATGATGGTGATTACCATTAATAATATTTCATGTAGTAGCATAATCTATCTTTTAATTTAATTCATTATTTTGAAATAATTTTAACACATCCCGGACAAGCCTTTTTTTAAGAAGTACTTAATATTCTGTGCGGCTTACTTTTTTCTTTTAGAAGTATTTAGTCAGGTCAGTATTTTCAGAGACCTTTAACTGCCTGATTTTGTCGAAAATCTGGTTTGATAAGCCATTATAAACTGGTATTTTTGCCAGTAATTTAAAATGCATTCCACTTTATGGGACATTTCCAACTGTTGACATACAACACTGTCCTAAACTTTATTTGCCTTAAAGAGTTTAAAATAATGAACTTGACTCTATAGCTTGGACAGTAAATGTTGCAAATTACAATATAAAAAAAATGATCATGTTTTGGTTTTGGATCATACACGTAGAGCCAGAGGAGTTCTTGTTTCTAACATGAAATCATCTCATGTCACGAACGTTCTAATAACTTCAGTACTTTAATGTTGAAAAGAAAGTTATTACAATCCTATATGTATTTATTCCTTAGGAGTCAATGATAACGCTCAAAATTATGGTACCATAGAATACTGGATTTGGTTACGAGTTCCTATGGATCAAGCTATTAGACTCTACAAAGAGAGGTCAAAGACTCTGGGGTATAAAACATCCAATTTTAGGGAACGTGAACAACCATCCCAGGTATGTTTGGGTTTGTGCTTAGTAGCTTTCATAAAATAAGCTGTTCAAAATTACTTTTTCAGTTCAAATAGTTCAATTCAAGTCTTGATGTATTCAAGGTTAACAATGTTAAAGGTTCTTGACCTGGAAAATATCTTTAGTAGTTAACTTGTTTTTCATCTACAGAGATAAAGAACCAGTTGAATTATAGCTTTCCTGAAGAGACTAAGTCTTAAACTTCAGGTATTTATTTTTACTGAAATTGGCACTAGAATGTATGAAATTATTATATTTCATTTTCTTAACATTTTGTTCTAGTACAATATTCAGGAATGTTAAACCAACTGGGTGTCAGATCAGAATAACAGGTGAAGTGGTTGTTCAGAAAGATCCCAAAGTTCTTGTGTTTGGGTATTATGAGACTGAGTATTAATGTTTGAGTAGTATGAGACTGAGATTCTCTCATGGGGTGTTTTGGGATTTTTTTTTTTTTTTTTTTTTTAGATGGGTAGTGAAGAGAATTTCGATCATATAATGCACTGTATATTCGTGTTTAGATAAGGTTCAGGAGAAGAAGGGTCTCTCAGACATCTTTAGCAGTTGTTTAAGAAATAAAAACAATCAGGTTGAAATGTATAAATTAAAACACTTTAAAGTTTCTAATGGGCAGGTTTTTTTTTTCTGTGGCTGTTAAAATTAAATTACTGTAAGTCTGGAGTAACTTTAATGTTTTATATTATTCCATAACATAATTTTATATTATACTAAAATCTCAATGGATTCCATGATGTAGGGTATGAATTCTGTTAAAGATCAGTGTAGGCATTTTCACAATAATTTCACTTTTGATAACATTGTAACATTTGCTTTAAATCTGTTTTTTAAAAGAATCAAAGGTATTTTAAACTACCTCATAAAATGTGGCTGTTGTTAAATGCCAAAGTCTGTTATTTAGTTTTTTTTATTTTTGATGATGATATTTCTAGCTGTGTTACCAATCCAAACACAGTTGAAAGGTAAGGCATGTGAAGCAGAGCGCTTTGTTGTAATTATTGTAAAATTGCCAATTCAGACATGGTAACTGAAATATACTGATTATATGGGAGAAAATAAAATAGGAAAAATGGCAGAAAGAAAGAACAGCTTCTACAGAGCTGTTTGCAACACCGCAGTTTTCAGAAATATTTCATGGCAGAAACTAAAAGTCATATAGCTATAGCAGATGGTTACATTATGTTAAGGGTTCTGTCAATCTGCAACTGCAAAAGTAACTTCAGTTGTGCATTCCAAAATTTAAGCTTTCAGTAGTTAAACTTATATATAAAATTTTCTGTCGTGTATAGCAGCAGAAATCATGGAAATATAAACTGTACATAAATTGCTATAATTTTTTTTTTCCAGTCTGTGGGTAGCCAGAAATAGTAGTCTTAAGGTTCCATATTAAGGGCATAAACTGTCACATAAAAATATTTAACATTTTATCACACAAAATCAAATTGATTCATGTTTCCCCATATACCAGAAGACAGAACTCTGGCTTCCACAAGCAAGATAATTATGTACAATTAATGAAAATAGCTGTGACATATAACAGTAAAAAAGGAGAGCCTTTTGAGATCAGTATAGATGGGAATTACTCATTGAAGATAGTCATGTTATTTGTTTTCTTGTTATTCTTTAATTTTTATTAACATTAATTTCCCAGTTTGCCAAGTATGGGTTCCATAGTACCTATAAACCATGCTGATAGGTAGTTCAAAACATTTGTGATAATGAGATTTTTAATTTACTTCAAACATATATTTTTCCTCTTCATATGCTGATTTCTAATTTCTGTAAATTGCTTGTGTGGGTAAAGATTTTGGAGGGAGAAAAAAACCCACAGGAATCTGCAATGCAATGTTAGTTATTGAAAAGTACTTATATAAAAGGGACTACAGTTCTAAAAAATTCTTGATGCAGAATAGCTGTCAATATCAGAATCCTTAACTTTAAAGTGGGACTAGATATGAATCACTCTTAAAACTGTGATCTTCACTGCATTGTAGATAATCAATTGACAAGTAGATCATAAAACTTTAGAAGAAAAAAACAATCACAGACCTGAAAGGATTAACCTCTTATTTCCTATACCAGCAACCCAAGAGAGATGTTGTTGAATTTGTAGAACAAGTAATATTCTGACATATACAACAAACAGTAGTTGGAGTGTCATTGAAATATTTAGTTGTTTGTTCTATTTACATAGTTCTTAGAGTTCGCCAGCATAAGAATTCTAATGTTTTTAATTTAACTTCTTTTTCTTTTAAAGCAGCAGATACTCAGAACTGCCCAAGTCAGCACTTCAACAGATGGCAATTTAAATGAACTCCACATTACAATAAAATGTTGTAACAATCTACAATCCCGAAGAAAACATCTTCAGCCAAATCCTTATGTTGTCTACAAGTTCTTTGATTATGCAGACCATGATACTCCCATCATTCCTAGCAGCAACAACCCACAAATAGATGACCATATGTGTTTCCAAGTGCAAATGAATGCAGATTTAGACCGATACCTAAAATCAGAATCCTTAGCCTTTTATGTATTTGATGATGGTGCAATGGAAGAAGGTGCTTATGTAGGGAAAAATGTGCCTCTTATTTCTTTAGCACATGACAAATCTATCTCAGGTAAGAATTAGACTTCTTTAAACTTAACAAAACTTAACAAAATCTTCATTTCCTGTTTCGTATCTCTCTAAATCTCTTTAGGAACTAAGCTAAAGAGGGATCTGGACAGGCTGGGTTGATGGGCCAAGGCCAATTGTATGAGATTCAACAAGGCTCAGTGCCAGGTCCTGCACTTGAGTCACAACAACCCCATGCAACGCTACAGGCTTGGGGAAGAGTGGCTGGAAAGCTGCCTGACGGAAAAGGACCTGGGGGTGTTGGTTGACAGCCAGCTGAACATGAGCCAGCAGTGTGCCCAGGTGGCCAAGAAGGCCAACGACATCCTGGCTTGTATCAGGAATAGCCTAGCCAGCAGGAACAGGAAGGGGATCGGGCCCCTATAACTCACCCTGAGGCTGCACCTCAAATACTGTATTCAGTTTTGGGCCCCTCACTACAAGAAGGACATTGAGTTGCTGGAGTGTGTCCAGAGAAAGGCAAGAAGGCTTGTGAAGGGCCTAGAACACAAGTCTTAAAAGGAGCGGCTGAGGGAACTGGGGTTCTTTTATCTAGAGAAAAGAAGGCTCAGTGGAGACCTTACCGCTCTCTACAACTGCCTGAAAGGAGGTTGTAGCGAGGTGGGTGTTGGTGGATATTAGGAAAAATTTCATCACTGAAAGAGTTGTCAAACACTGGAACAGGCTGCCCAGAGGAGTGATTGAGTCCCCATCCCTGGAGGTATTTAAGAGATGTGTACCTGTGGTGCTTAGGATGTGGTTTAGTTGGGTTTGCAGTTGGAATCGATCTTAAAGGTCTTTTCCAACCTAAATGATTGTATGATTCTAAAAACCTGTATCATTCATCTACTGTTCTTGTCTGACAGAATTTTAAACTCCAGTGAAATCCTGGAAAGAAATTTTGCATCTAAGTGTTACTTAAGTCATGGCTAGTGGAAAGTCTGTGTTGAAGCTTTGAAACCAACGAATGCATTGTTGCATTTTAACTAAAATTTTAAAGTGGTCTTTGTTTTTGTGATTACCCGTCAACTGCAATGAATCTGAACAGGACAGGATGCCTGTACCTTACAGGGTCGTTTGCAGTAGTAGGATTTTTTTCCCCTCATAACATTTTCTGAGATTCAAGAGAAAGAAGTAAGTATTTTCTTTAAAATTCACAAGTAAAAAATAATTAAATCAAAGGAATCTGGTGTCCAAACATTCATTTATCATGGTCCTAACAAGGATGAAAAGTCTTTTAAATCCTTTTATATTCTCTGTACTGGCCCAGGTATGGAATAATTTGATACATAATTATAATCGGAATGATGTGTCACTCTAGCACTGACTAAATTTATTTGCTAATCAATTATTGATGGGATTTTTTTGTTAGCATTTTAGTCATCTGTTTGCATCTGTCTTGTACCATGTTTTTTTGCCTTAAGAAGCCTACCAAATTTACCAGTTATATTTCTCACTACTATATTATGAGTATCTTTCATTATTAGGTAGAACAGCCCTGTTAGTCTTAACATCAGGTGGGAAGGGGTGGCTGAAAGCTGGCTTCCCAAATTTACTGCTTTCATAATTGACAAGATAGCGGTGAAACAAAAAAAAATAGTTGTCTTGAAATAACTCTTAAAAAAAAAAAATCAAGCATTTCTTTCTGGTTCAAGAGCATCTGGAAATATTTGATATCTTCATTTACTAGTCCTTTTTTATGTTCTAATGATACAAAATGTTTCCTGGCATATACATACTTTCTCCCGCCTTTTCTTCTGATGTTGCTGCTACTTCTTTTTTTGGGACTGATATGCTAATTTATAACATGGTTTCTTTCTTTACATGTCTTTTTATCTGTCTCATTAGTTTCCTTTTTGGGTTTTGGCTAGTGTACGCTTAAAATAAATTAGAAAATTGAGGTGACAGGTTGGCCTCTTTGAGGGGAAAAAACAGATCAAGAGCTACACTTGGAATCTTTAGAATTAGTGTCAACTGGAATTCCTGATAGGATCTAGTCCAGCCTCCTGACCCAATCAGAGCAAGTTTCTCAGAACTTTATCAAGTTAAATTTTGAATATATCAGAGGACAGAGATCTAGTAACTGTCTGGTCAATCTGTTCCAAAGTTTATCACCCTCATAATAAGAACTTTTTCCTTTCAGAGCCGGGATTTCCCATGTTCCAGCTTGTGGCTGTTGACTGCTGTTGGCTCTGTACCTCTGGTTCTGTCTTTTCCACACCCTCCTATTAGGTGGCAATAAGATCCCCTCTGAGCCTCCTCTTCTGAAGGCTGAACAAATCACTCCTTTCAGCCTCTTCTGTGTCATGTGTTTCAATGCCCAGAAGCTCTTTGTAGCCCTCCACTGGACCTGCTCCAGAATGTCAGTGTCTTACTTGTGCTGGAGGGGGGCAAAACTGGACACAGTATTCCAGATGCCATCTCACAGGTGTTGAATAGAGAAAGTATGAAATTTTCCTGGGCCTGCTTGACTGCATTCTTGCTAATGCAGGCCAAGGTGCAATTGGAATTCTTTGCTGCGGAGACACAGCTTGGCTGTCTTGTATTATTTTTGTCAAACAGAACCAGATCTTTTTCTGCAAGGCTGCTTGTGGCCAAACCCCAACCTGTACTGCTACTTGGGGCTATTCCTGAGCCAATGCAGGACTTTGCATTTGCTTTTGGTGAACTTCATGAGGTTTTGGTCAGCCCATTTTTCTGCTGTGGGAATAGCAGCCCTGCGTTCAGTGCATCACCTGCTCCCCGCAAGTTGGTATCAGCTAAAAATTTACTATGGTGTTTATAATACAAAAACTGCTTAATGATTATTCCGTTGTCAACTATAAGACATTCATGAAAATTTTAGTATATGATTCTATAATTATCCCATATAAATGGGTAATAGCAGAAAATTTGTTAATGAATTTAGGGTGTTTCTTCTTCGATAAAGATTTAGCAACTCGCAGATTTTTAAAACCCTTCTATTTTCTTTAACAAAAGTTAGTATTAGTAAAATGTGGAAATGATTTAGTTAGATCTTTTGAAAGATGTCAGTATGAATTAATTATCTGGTATTTGATTATCTCGGAAATCTACAGGACATCTTGAATGAACACAGTAATCCAGTCAATTCTAAATCCTGTGTTCTTGAATGTCCACAGTGTTGTATTGGATATATTTGGATCTACAAAACACAGTATTTTGACACTATTTAGCTTCTAAAATGAAGGCTGTTAAGTTTCTTAATTCCTGAATCCCATTCTGTTTTGCATTATATTTTCATATACATGTATAGAACAAGATAATTCAGACAAGATTTGCATTTTGCTTTCAGGTGCTTTTGAACTAACAGATGCTGAAAGACGTGCTGCTGGTGGTACCATCACAGTTGAATTAAAATGGAATTCTGTCTACCTGCCACCAAGTGGATCAACAATGGCTGCAGACTTATCGAATTACATTGAAAATGAGAAATCAGTGGCAGCTAAATTACCAGCAGAGGAAAAAATGCAGACTCCAGCCGTGTCTCCTTCTTTTACTTCATCAGTGACAGTAAGTAATTTAACAAACTCACAGAAGTTAAGAGATATAAAAGACCTATTACAGTAGGTCATTTAGTTCTTCCCTGATCACCAGGATTTGTCCTTACTGTAAAATAATGCATAGTACAAGTATTTCATATAACCACCATCTTGGACTTCCTTTGGGAAGTGAAATCTTTCTTGTGTCCAAAGTTTTTTCAAATCTTTTATAATGGTAGATAATTGGTAAGCAAAAGGACGGGGAGAAAAGGGAGGAGAAATAACAAACATAAAATGTCTTCCCTATAAATTTAGTTCCTGTTAATTCTCTTTCCAATGTAGATGTCCTACGTAAAATATAGTCACACGCTTGTGCAACTTCAGAGCTATGGTGGAAATATATGACAGTCATGATATCGGCTGTTGTTTCTGTGGTCTCTTAGAAACTCTGACAGGACTCAGTCAGTTGCGGTAGCTTTGAGATAAAAGAATTCTCAAGCAGCCAGACCCAAGCCATATATACAGATACAGAGGTGTATCTGCACCACACTCTTTGTTTTTCAGGTGCCTGGAGCGTGGTGCTAAGATGCCAAATAGCTTCTTAAAAATTGCTCATAAATTAAAAGTAGCAGAAGGATTTTTTTTTGTGTATAAAAATCAGTGGAAATGGAGGATAATTTCTATGCTCATCAAGAGAGTAAAGCATGAAGAGTAATAAAAAACTTTTTGTCTTTTGTATTATAACATCATCACAGAAATACTTCTGGTTTGTTTTGTTAATTTTGCAATTATTACCAGTCTCTCTTCTGTTTCTGTGTTAAAATTCTCCAAAGGGAGTGGCATAAGGAAACGTTTCAAAGATATGGTAAGCCCACAGAACAAGAAAAGAAATCAAGCCCTCCATAAACAATACTAGTAAATCATTCCACCACATATATGATACCACTGACTTTAGTCCTACAATTTTTTCTCACCTGGACCTCACATTGCATTCCATAGATGTTCAGTGTAGTTTTATATCCATTTGTGGCTGAATTCAGGAAGGTATCTCCATTTGGGGAGCGTTGCTTATTCAAACAGCATCTACATCATCGTGCCTGTTTAGAATTGAATGTAGTAGTGCAGTTAGATTTAGCTTTGAGAAAAATCAGGGTCCCTCAAAATTTATTGTAAAATAAGATTAGAATATGGCAATAAATGTTTTTCTACTGTACTTGTTTTATTACAGAAACCAACACCCAAACCAAGGCAGCGTGCAGCTCAAGCAGACAAGAAAAAATCTTTTCTGGATCTTAGTACAAGACAGATGGCTGTAAGTTTTAAGTATTTTGCTCATGCATGTTGAAGCAAGAAAGGCTACTTATGTCTCAGTATGGACAATTTGTAGAACTAATAACCGAGAACACTCAATTATTTTAGCAGCGCAAGACTGGGATTTTCCAGGCAATGAATGATAGCATAGTACTGCATATAGGTGGGGGGATACAATACAGTACGAAAGTACTGATAGAACCAAATAATGAAATAGCTGGGGCTTCTCTGATGTCTGAATCTTATGGAGAAATGGCAAGAGAGTGTCCATGCAAGAGAATGAGAAGTTCAGCAGATTAAAACTGTACAGAAACAGTGTGTTTCATTTTTCTGTTCATTTTCTGAATAGCAGAGAATCTAGTTCTTGGATATTAATGTGACACATGCCAAAGCAAATAATTGTTTTGCGAAAAGGAGACTCACTAAAAAGTGGGATGAATGGTTTGACTCGCCCAAACCATTTGTAAGAATTGTCCAGCCTCGTAGGTAGAAGCTACAGCAGAGGACAGAAGCAGTAATGCTAATGCAGTGAAGCAGAGGATGGCATAATTTCCTGTCCAAATGCTTCTCCACCAGTAAATTTTTACCTACATTTATGTGTAGTCCACTATATATTAAAGGCTTCCCCTTATTTTACCTGTAACTTAGGGCTCTGTTGTTGAAAATAACATGGAACTTGCACAGAAGATGGATGCTTCAAGAGTTCCAAGTGTTTCAGAGGTATGAGATTATTCAGGTTTTGCGGTTTTACATAATATATTGCATTTGAATTCAATGTGTATGTTATTTTTTCAGAGTAATGCACCAAAAGTCAAACTGCAGTAAAGAACTGATTCCTTGTGATGACAATCTTCTTTCTTGGGCCATTAGAAAATTCTGGAGGAATATCGCTACTTACGTCCTTCTGTGTTTGAATGAAGTTTATTTTGTCTTTCCTCTAAAAATTACCATTATATAGCAGAGGGAAATGAAGAAGAAATGGAGTAACTTTGGAATATTGCTCAGTATGTAGCATTCCAAGGGGAAGAAAAGTATGAAATAGTGAAATTTGTAATGGTCCGATTGGTTGTGAAAGTAAGTTGTGGCAAATTGGCCAACTGTAGTTTCTAGTGGTGTAACACAACATTTAATCACTCGCTGTTTTCTTTCTTTTCTACTTTAAAGCTCATCTGGGGCTTTGATTGAGAAGTTAATTCTCACTTCCACCACATCAGGTGGCATTGGGCAAGTTAGAATAATCAAAAAGTATTCTCTCTCTGAAAATTTTATCCACAAAATGCAACTCTGTCACTGAAGGAATTAAAAAGAATGGCCGAACATTGTCTAAAACACACTGGTATGACACATCATCTGTGCTAAGGAGGAGCACAAAAGACTTGAAGTCAGTTTTCTACAACATGAAAACTTCAAGGATAACCTTTGTTTGTAGAATAAGGCTCTTAAGTGATTGTTAACATTGCTTTGCTTTGTGTGGCTTCGAATGTGATACAGAAGAAATAACTCTTCAGGTCCAGTTTTGGAAAACCTGTATGTTCTGTGGACAGCTGCATGTTACCTCATGGATTCTGAGGGTGGAAAGTGAGGCATCAGTATCTGTGTGGGAAAGTCAGTCCTAGAGGAGAATTGATGGATAATAAATAATGCATAGGTCTCCAGCAAACTTCCATGGAAGATGCCATGTCTGTAATGTTGTATCCGTTGATGAGGTATTATTCCGTGTAATTGTACTCAAGCAGAAAGAAGGGAATAAGATTACTTCAGAGTAAGTTAAGCACTAAAGATATTTTACCTTAGGTAGCATGTTCATATTTTGTAGCAAAGCACATTCTTTGTCATATTATTTTAGTTTTCTTTTGAAGCAGAAAATACGGTGTAATTTAAGTTGTAAGATTACCAAATGAGTAAGGTGGTGGTGGTTTGGTTTTGTGTGGTTTGGTTTTGGTTTTTTTTTTTAAAGTGAGTCTTGTAGAACTGAAAGAGCTGAAATATAAATGAATCTGGAAACTTAACAGGCTGTATATATGTTGACAGGTACCAAATGATTATAACAGTTATGTTTTCACAAATATACATCGTTAGGGAATTGTCTTGCTACTGTATCAATTATTTGTTACTGGAGTTGACAGCTTCTCATTGTTTCTGCATTGCATAAGCAATATAATTGTTTAAAGGCTATGTATAATGAATGTGAGCCGTAACTCTTCAAGTTTTGAACTTTAGTAACTTTTACTATTCGAGGAGTGTTATAAAGACTGTAAGTTTATCTATTTTTATATAGCATGTGGTACATGAGGTTAAGCAAGAAAAGCTAGCAGATGGTAAGGCGAAGGAGATGGCTGAAGAAATTCCACAGGAAAAAGAAAGCATCTCTGATCTGTCAGAGGGGCAATTGTCCAACCAAAGATCAGTTACCTCTGGAGATGGGACAGAAATAAGTGAAGAATTGGAACCAGAAGGTAGAATTCATTTTTATGAATAAGTAACTGTACTTTTTTAAATAAATCTATGTCTCTTTCCATTTTCATAAGCATTTCTTACTAGCAGTGGGAGCTGCCTCATTATGAGAAGCTTCATGACAGAAATGATATTCTGGTGTACTTCATAGCTGGAGCTGGATGGTGGATATGGTGGTGTTACTTTCTTCCCAAATGGAAACTGTATTGTAATTGAATGCAAAAATCTGATATCTGACCTAGATTCATAAAATATTAAAGGAAACCTGACTTCTATTTTAAATGTCTTCATATTCTCCCTTAGAACTATGCTGTTCTAAAGGCTACTTTAATGAATATGCTCCTTTTGTCTGCAGATAACAGCTAATGGTGATATTGGAAATCCTTTCAGACAGTGAGAGGGGTAGTCTGTCTTATCACATCTGTGACTTAAAGTTGTTAGAGGCAGATTTATTTAAAGATTATAAAAGCCAGGTCATCCTGTTCCACCTCCGAGCTTAAACTGTTCACTATTGAAATAAACCAAGTCCATGATACCAAGTAAAAGCACAAGCAGGATGCTAGAATTTTATGTTTAGTTGTTTGCAGCTTCTGCATAAGAATTCATCTGAAAAATTGGAAAAACATGATGTTGAATCCCTGTCGTGTTTAGAAGTAATTTACTCCAGAGGAAAAAGACCTGAATGCTTTAGGAAATAATCCACCTGCATACAGAGCTACTTAAAAAAAAAAAAAAAAAAAAGTACACGCTTCTTTGCATGTGCATGTTGTTAAACATAGTCAGAGGAAATCCACAAATTCAGGCCGTATTCTGATATAAAGATAGCTGTTGTTCATAGTTCAGTTCATCACAGGACTTACATCATTCCACTCATCAACTTTCATCTGGGAAACATTACTATTTTTTTCTACAAATCAGAAAAAAATAACAGTTTAGATGACTTTAAAGGTCATTGATTTGCCAGTGTTAATTTTCTGCGAGGAAAAGATTTACCTGGCATTTATTTATTAGAAAAGCAAATATACTGCTATCAGGTTTCTCGGCAAGTCTCAGAGGGACTACAAATAGGGGTTTTCTAACTACATAGATAATTTTTTTTTCTTTCAGATCAAGGTGATAGACAAGAAAATGATTCCACTCAATCAAAAACTGACAGCGATGACTGTATTGTTTCAAGTCCGGTATCCAAATATCTTAAGCAGGTGAGTCAGAGTATTTATGGCAATTATTTGGAAAGTCTAAGAAAAATATTTTAAGCCTAATGTGCTTTAAGAGTAGCTTTGCTATATTTAAGGTCAGATTTGAAGGCATTTTCAGCAAATGTATGTTTTCCTGTTTCCAGTTAAAGTAGAGACCTTTTCACCAAAAAAAAAGGGGAAAGGAAAAGTTAACCTGACCATACTGTGCATGTGATTTATAGGTTTCTTTAAATGGGTAAATTTGTTGTCATCTTTTCCCTTATTGTCGTACACACTTAGACATTTCTAATTAGTTTCAATCTGAATTCAAATTCTAGTCCTGCACAAAATCTCCCTAATGAAAGATAACTTTTGTAATGTGAATTTCTGAAGAATTTAGTTTTTTTGTTCAGTCCTACCTGTTGCCTTTATGTGGCAAAATCTGCTTTTCTGCTTCTTCCAGTGCTTTCTTTCTGAGGAAGTGGAGAATAATTTCATTTGTCAAGGCCTGTAGTAAATTTACAGTGCTTAGCTACCCACTGTGTTTCACCACAGTATGTTGACTTGATTGAATGTTGTTGAAATGGCAATTGCATAAGATTGAATTTGTTGATAACATGCAAACCTTGCATATATTTTCTAGTTCATCCACATAGTTTTCTTTTTGTTCCTGACTTCCCAGCAGTTTTAGAACTAAACATCAGTTTTCAATAAAGTTTGTACATGTACAGTATCCAATCACTTCAGTGTACTTCTTTTTCTGTTCTTAGTTGTAGGCATGTACAGTAATGATAATCCCTTGAATTGCTCTTAAAACCAGCAATTAATGAGCATAAAGTCATATATACAAAATAACACAGCATAATACCAATTTGGAAAATTTACTTTGAACAGTATTTCAGTAGTATAGTTCTCTAAAAAAATAAGAATGTTTCATACTCAGTTCTATCATTGACCGAACAATCTTAAAAAATATAAAATTAGCACTTAAAATTGATTGTAATACTTCTAACAGTTAATACTTCTCTGGTCTGTCTTAGCTTCCTTTTAAAGGACCGGGGTATACTGTTGCATCCTATCAGTCTAAACTTATTTTAATAGTCTGCAATGTGATAACCTAGAGGTAGTGTGATGATTTTTTTTTTTATCCCTTTTTCAAGGCTATATGACATTTTACATAGAAACTAGCAACAAGAAGTAACGCTTCGTATGAGAAATATTGCTCTTTTTTTTTTAAGTTGTAGAAGAGATTTAGAATTGCTATCACGCATAGATGCTGCAGAAAGATACAGAAGGTACTTTTGAAGCTAGAATTGCATTGTTTATATGTAATATGTTAAAAAATTGTTTCACCTGTAGTTTTAAGAACTAAAATGACTGCTACTCATCACCATTAAGTCAAACTATAATACAGTTGATCTATGCATTTCTAGTCATCCTGTATTTTATTTTATCAAAACTATTTAAGCCGATTTCTGAGAGGAATTTGAGTGTAGGTTCATTTCGGGTTCGTTAAGTTTTACCTCTCTGTTCTTCTGTTCCTCTGGTAACAAAGTGCAGGTTCAAGAAGGGCAAATAAGACAACAAAGCTATAAACTATTAAGGCAACATGTCTGATACAAATTGCATTTTATAAATAGGCATTGGTATATTGGAAATCTTGGGTTGATTATAGAATACAGCATGTGAAAATTGTGATTGAATTTGTATTTTTTTTAAGATGAAAAATCACTGCCTTTTATCTTCTGAGATAAATATCCAGCTGGTACTCAAACACCGTAAATAAGACTTGTGATTTTTAGAGATCGTTATGCTAATTATCCTATAAATCTGAGTTGTATGCCAAACTGTTTAAGCTGTTTAAGATCATACTGTTTCTTTTTTCCGTGTTGCAAATTAGACAGTTCCTGGTTATTTCTTAGATATGTTGATCATAAAGGGTATCTAACAGATTTTCCAGTACTTAGCTGTACCACTTGCTTCTTTCTCTTTTCTTCTTGTCTATGATGTATAATTAATCATAGATTACTTCATTTTGTTTCATTTCATTTACAACATTTATAAGCTTCACTTTGTCGGTATGAAATGCTTGTCCCCTTCTTTCCTTTCCAAAGTGGCGTAATTAGTGTTAGCATCTTTTTTAACAGGCTACATAAAGTTTAGTGGCTGGATTAAATCAAGTCATTAACATAATGTGCTATACAATTTGCCCCTATCTCTTTTCGTTTCCAGTACATCAAAGTGCCACAGAGTGCCAGTGTAATTGGGCCTTGCTAGCTTGTCAGGTTCAGTCAGGCTGATGGCTGCTGCTTTTACTAAAAAGCTTCCAGGCATGATAATTAATAGAGAAAAGAAGTCTGAAAATGTAAAAGTTTGGACAGTTCTCTATGAATATTTCATACGTTTTGAATAATCAGAAGTTAACATTATCAATTTGATGTATAATACATTGATTAAAAGCCTTGTTTCAGATCCTCAAAATAGACATCAAAACTGGGAATTTGCATTTTCTTTGGCATGACCTTTATATGTAAAAAAAAAAAAATCTTTTCCATCCCCTCCTCCCTTTCGCCCCCATGTCTACACTGTATCCTTACAGGAGATAATATAGCATTCAGTTATGTCAATAAAATTTACTGCTGTTAGCTGCCAAGTTGTCTTAAAATGTGCCCATAAGGCAATTACTGCCAAAAACAATTTATTCGGTGGTGGTCCCATTTTTTCCATAGGTGTGTTTACGTGTCTCTTTTTTTGTTGTGATACTGTGAGTGCGTTGCTTTGTGCTAATAGCAGTTTACTGAAAACTGGCATTATCAGTTCCTGTAAATTACAGTCTTGGGGTCTAATTAATTTTGACCTGAAAGTCTCTATTAACACCGTTAAAAAGCAATACCAATTGATTGTAGTTCTGCTGGTCAGTGAAACATGTTTGTGCAAAGGTGGGAAGATGTAAAGCATAAAGCTTATGTATAGCAAAGCAATAAATACTTTTCCCTTCATTATGCCTTTTTTGTACAATTACTTGAATTGTGCATTTCCTCCTATGAGATATCTGCATTCATGGAAAAAAGAGAAAATGGTTCGGACATTGTGTTACAATTTTAAATTTTGGCTGTCTTGATTTCTCTTTACACTTATTTTCTGCAATATCTTTGGTGTACTTCAGGGAGATTGCCAATTGCTCAGTGTTTTTCTTTAAACTGACTTGTTCTGTGAATATCTAATCTGAATTTAGACAATTAAAATTTTAGGTTTTTAGTATTATGCCTTGTTGTGGAGTTGGCTTGATTCTGTGCCAGAAATACTCATCCTCTGTATTCTCTTAGTCTTGTCTCAATCTAACCTTAGTTGCTTTGTACTTCTGTAAGAAACTGGGGAAGTAGAAGTGCTGCACCAGAATATTTAATCAAACAAGGAAGAAAATTCATGAAATTAAATCAGAGTAAGATAAAAGTAATGTATTTTAAAGCTTTATAGTCAATATTTTCAAAGACTACTCATGGGTCTAAGATTGAGAAAGAGTATTTGCCATTCGCTGTCTTTAAGGTGATTTGTTGCTACTATGGTCACTGTTAGACAGGAACTGATGTAAAAGTGAGGAAGTGTGAAGAAGCCAGGAAAAACCCGAGTTGTCTTTTGCCACTAATTACTTTTGAGATGACTGGTTTGAATAGACAGTATGCTGAAATGATGAATTTACAACTTCAAGTGCTTGTCATATACTTTGAAGTAATAATTAGAAGCATATACTACAAGTCATTCTTGATGGAAGAACTGAAAGAAGGGGGCAAAATAAAACCAAAAAAACCCCAAACACCAGCTTTTAAAATTATTCCAAACAACAGAATCTTAAGTCAGTAGGTAACCCATTACTTTTCAGGTAACAAATAAAACTAATTGGTCAGATTATTAAGCAGAAAGTCAGATTTAAGGCTGAATGCATAAGTCCACAGCAAAAGCATCAACAGGAGCTGTTTTTAACATAGCTGGTAATAATTTTTGTGCTTATGAATATGAATGCTCCTCAGTTGCTTACTTGAGAGACTGTATTTATCAGAGCTCATTGACATAGAAGTTAGTTATGATGGCTTTACAAGTGGAAAGGAGTATTTTTCTAACTGGAGGTCTAAAAAGCAAAGAACGTGATCTGAAACTAAATTTGAGTTTTAGCTGCATGATACCAAGCATAATTTTTTTTTTCGTCTTGTACATAATATGAGAAAAAAATTCTATTCATTTTTACAAGTCTGTATTGTCCCCACACTATACTACAATGGTGAAGGCGGAGGAGGGGGAGAGCATTATGAAATGTTAAGTAGTAAAGCTCTAAATAAAAAGAACAGCTCTATTAAAAATGGGCAATTTGATATTTTTTTTTCACTACAGATGCACTCATAAATGAAAATGCTGTACTGATACTTCTGCTTTCTTCCCATACTAAGGGATTTCTTTCCTAAATGGATTAACTTTCAAATACAGATTTTTGAAATTTAATTTATTTCTGAAAGCAAAGCAGGAGTGCGTGATCCACATATAGAAAAATACATGCATAGATACATACAAAACCAGAAATCCTATTATATTTGTCTATATTTAGTTTTTTACGTAATACTGTTACTTATTTCATCTTATTTTTGTAACTGAAATGTTGACATATATTAACATACCAAAAATGTACAGCATAAGACGTCTTATTATGGAGAATTTTTCTGTCTTTCATGCTTATTTGCCTAAGGATCATGTGGTTTTTTTTAAATGAAAGCTAATTGTAAGTTTACAGAGCATTTGAATTACTTAATTGTGTAGCAAGTTGGTACTGATGTAGCTAACTGGCTTGGAGAGTTGATAAAGTGATTTTTTTATGTTTGTTTTATCTGGTGGTATAATCAATTGTGAGTGCTTAAACACATAAAAAATGAAGTCTCCTCTTTGAGATAGACTACAGTAGAGAGGGGTGTAGCTTAGTTCAGGACTGTAACAATATTGCTTATGTAGCCTTCCCCACTTCTTCGGGAGAAAATAAAACTCGGAGCTAAGGAAGTTTGTGTCTCACCAGTCAAACAGCCCCAGGTATATCTGCTTTTTTTGTATTCTTGCCTAGAAAAAGTTTAAAATATGTTAGCTGAGGCAATGCCACAGGCAAGTTACAAAACCAAATCTTTAAAAACCATTCAACTTCAGAAGAAACATGGAACAATTTTATGTTTATTCTTCAGAAAGGGTGGGGGAGGCAAGCCATTTGAAGGGAAGAAAGTATATTATTCAGGTGATAGAAAGTTGTATTATGAGCAAAGTGTAAATGTGACTTTGAGTTCAAATGTATAGTTGCCATGGTTGTGGTGGGAAAGCTTCAGATGCCTCAGGAACTTACTGTTTTCTAAAATGTGTGATGTTTTGTAATGAATTAGAAATTGTCTTTTCTGAAAAAAATCAATGTATTGATGGGTATGTTACAGATTTGCATAGAAGAGGCAATATCTAATCATTGAATTGTCTCAAGCTGTAGCAGGTAATTTATGCCTTTGAAGATATGAGAGATGAATTCATGCTCTGAAAATGGTGAATTTGGACTCTGCACTAGATAAAACTGCAGCTGCCAGAGACATACTTATTTTCACAAATAGATTTTTTTGTTCAGTGTATTCTCAATTCTAGACAGAGCTGAAGGGATTGCATTGAACCTTATTATGGTGCTAACCTTATAACATTGCATTCTCCTCCTATCACATGGAAAAAAAACAGTGATGCTCGGGGAAGATTAGATGTCCTTTTCCCTCCTTCTCAGTAAATCTGACTCCAAAAGAGCTATTGAGCAAGAAGAGGTTTCTTTGCCCCAGGTCTCAGGGAGAGCCTGAAGTGCATGCGCTTTTCTAAGTCCCATCCATCTGGAGAAGGAACAGGGAGCGTTTCTGTATCCCCGTTCATATTCTCACATCTACACCGTTATGGGGAAAATCTAAAAATAGAAGATGTTCCTAACATCAAATTCACTGCATACAGTTAAGGTCTAGAGTAATTTTTTGTAATATGTATTTTTATGTGTATATGTACGATGTTGACCTGCTAATCATAATTTCTTAATGAGTGATGTTTGTGTCTCTGAACAATTACATTAGATTGACATTCCTGTGATAGCATTCCTTTGCAGCTCTCTTCTGATGTTTGTTAATAGGATAGGCACAGGAATTTGTCACTTGGTAGAGGAAGAAGATAATTTCTCATTCAATAAATATATTTGTCAATCAACTAATATTGATAGTGATTGAAGTATTGATAGGAAATCAATAAAAAAAAAATTGGGGACCTAATATATACTTACAAATATCTGAAGGGTGGGTGTCTGGGGAGGAGGGGGCCAAACTCTTTTCAGTAGCGCCCAGCGACAGGACAAGGGACAACGGGCACAAACTGAAGCACAGGAAGTCCCGTCTGAACATGTGGAAGAATTTCTTCCCTCTGAGGGTGACGGAGCACTGGAACAGGCTGCCCAGGGAGGTTGTGGAGTCTCCTTCTCTGGAGATATTCAAGACCCACCTGGACAAGGTCCTGTGCAGCCTGCTGTAGGCGACCCTGCTTCGGCAGGGGGGTTGGACTAGATGACACACAGAGGTCCCTGCCAACCCCGAACATTCTGTGATTCTGTGAAATGGATGATTACTCGTGATGGTTGGACAATTGCTTATAGTTTATCTGATATACTCTCTGCTTGAAATAGAAGGTAACAAGTAAGTGGACTGCGGAAATAAATGCATAAAATATTAAGGAGTAAATTACAAATATTTTTGAGCATTGGTAAAGATAGGATTCAAGTTGATCTTATGGTTAAGAAGTTGCCTTTATTTTGAGTTTTTCAAGGGCAATGTATTAGTTAAAGCTGTGGATTCAAAAAATATGAATATTGTTTACATTGTTCCTATAAGCAAGGCTTTTTCAATGCTGCTGTTTTGTGCAGGAAGCACAAACTTTTTTTTTTGTAAAACACTTAATTCTTTGGGATACTATTGCAAACCGTTAGAGTCAATTGGAATTTTATTATTCACATCAGTCTTAGCATTTTATTCTGACCAGAAAGGAAATAAAAATACAGTGTGTACAGCTTCTTGAAGACGTCAGTCAGGATTTTATGAAATTAAAAAAAACTTTTTTAATCTCGGACATCAGAAAGAGGAGAACAGTTATGTTGGGACTTCAGATTCAGATGTAGCGTCCAATGCATTTAGTACTTAACCTAATGCTAAAGTTTGAAGGAGTTTAGCAGTTCTTCCAAATCTCTGGGTAGTGTTAATTACAAAGAGTCAATACTAAATACTAAAGAAAGAATATTGCCATAGACTAAGTATCTTGCTCATGTTTTGTTTTCTTCCCTTGAAATTTAAGCACTGAACCAGTTTGTCAAAGACAGTCTTTGAAAGCATTTAGGATTCTTTATTTTAATGTGTGTGTCACATCTCTGTTAGAGGAAATTTCATAGTGTATTTTGTTTTAAAATTAGTCTTTAAATTTAGTATTTATTTCCATAGAAGGAGAATGATTTGTGGAAAGTAATTTGTCATGACAAACTATCCATTTTTCACTGGAATCGTACCTGATAAATGAGACCAAGGCTTAAAAAACACCCCAAAATTTAGGAAAAGATTTAAATAACATACTTCACTCTGCATCATAGACATAAAATTAGTTGTTTAAGAATTAATTCCTATCATATATTGGATGCTACATATTATGTAGCTATGCTGAAAATATGAGTGTTTGTGTATTAGCAGTGAAATATGTCATGCTAGCTGTGCCATTCTTAAGCATTTCTATATTTTTTTATTTGTAAATATCTTTTTTTAATCAGCTTGTGTTCTCCTTTGTATGGGCTGTATTCATGTTTAATATTAATAAAAATAGGCCTTAAAATATTCTTGACTGTTAAGCTTTAAAGTATTTCATTTTTTTCTTATGATTTTCTAATAGTATGACTCAGTTATTTGGTTCCTTATAAGTTAGAAAGCAAGATACCTGGCTTTACCCTGCTATCCTTGAAAAACTGTAATATTCTTTGCCTACAGTATGCAATTACAAGTGTTAAATATGTCAAACGAGTTTTAAATTGTGGAAAAGAGATACTTTATAATACAGGGTATTGTATTTGGGCTTGATTCATAAACTACTGTCTGTGTACAAACTAGCTTGACATAGCTGCTAAACACTTTGGGGCGAACAAAACCACTCAGCATATCACTTTAAATACAGATGCTAATACATCTATTCAGTGTAAGAAGAAAAGAGTTGTTTCTGAAGTAAAATTAGACAATAGAGCCAATTTCATTTTTTATGCATGTGAATGTAGAGTGCTTGAGGTTATTAGTTGAAACTGAGTAACCTTTCCAGGCTTTCATCTCTTTCTTTTCATATTTGAATATGAAAAGCATATTCAAGTCAAAGACCATCACTTTAATGACATTTGGCAGTCATTTGATTTATTAGATTTTAGAAAAAAAAAAAAATCCTTTAAATATTTCATCATTCTATGCTAATCCCAGTAATATTGCCAGCTGAAGCCATGTACCTGTATTAGTGGAGACAGAATGGTGTGGAATTTTCTCTGTCATCCTAGTAAAATTTCCATGAATCTACTGAATAATAAAACAAATTTATTGAAATATTCAGATTTGGGGTTTTAGTTAAAGTGTCTTAGGATACATAATAAAAGGAAATGTCTTTTGAAAGGAGGGGGTAAAATTACTTCATCAAATATTGAAAGAGCTTGACAGCAATGGAAATTGTTCTATATGATGGATATTTTCAGAATAGGATACACCTGCTTTTCAGTTTGATTAATTATATAATTTGCTTGGAAAAATATAGGCTATCTCCATAATAAATTAGAATATTGACTTGCAGTTCTAACACTGAATAGAGAAAGCTACTCTTTTGAATATCACTTATTACTTCAAGTAATTTAAGTTTACAGTCAAAAACTGTCAAACATTTCCATATAGGGGAAATATTTTTAATAGAGTTATGAACTTGAAAATAACTAAATAAATAAATTTTGTATTTCTGAACTCCAGCTTGTTCTGTTTGCTCTTTGAAGATTCTCATCTGTGAATGTTCACCTGTGTACTCCAATTTTAAACCATAGTGGCTTTTCTTTCTTCAAATTACGGAGTTACCTAGGGAAATATTTGTGATTCTTTTGGTAGAGTCTGACATTCCCCCTTAAATATATAAAGCTTATTAAAATTTATCTGTATGCAAATAATACGGACTTTACTGAACAGAATGAAATAATTTCATATAAGCAACAGAAAAATGTCATTTTAGTTAAATGTAATGAGAAAAAGCTCTGGTGAAGAACAAGAGGGATATAACTTTTATTGTCATATTGTTAACTTTAACTTGTAAATGTATATTTGATTTAACTAGAAAAGTTCCGTATATGAAGTTGATTTCCATATAAATACAATATTGCTTTACATGCCTAACTACTATGTGACTTGGTGGATTTTTATTGAACTATTTATAGTATAGTCTACACTAGGCACAGAGTCTCACAATTCTCTTTCATTTGGAAAACTTTGGTACCTAATATTGCTGAGATTATTTCAAGCAGTTACAGGATCAAGATACAAATCACTTTGCTGTGTAGCTAAAAATAATAGCAACTGAAATTTGTGGTTCAGATATCATTTGTACATGAAGATAACCTTAACCTAATCTTCGCCACCAGAGTATGACTATTGGAAAAATATTTTCAACACAATGTAAATCGGTATCTGTTGCAACAATATTCTTAACTACAAACCCTGGGGCTTTAGAATCTCATTGTGTCTATGTCAAAATCAATCAATCAGTGCTAACCATACAAAATAGCCAGTGATTTACATGTATGTTTGTTTTGTGTTAACACTTGAACCAACACAAAATAATTTCTATTGTGTTTGTGCTTTGTTTTTAAACAGACAACTGAAAAAATACGGATTGAAATTATATCGCTTGGTCTTAGTGAGTCACGAATTGCATCAGATGAAACAATACAGCAGCTGTTTGTAGAATGCAGATTATACAATTTCCTTACGGAGGAGACGCCGCTGTCGCTTCCAAAACCAGCGAGTGGTCAGAGGATTCACTATAACTATAGCAGTAGTAAGTATGATGTATTCCCGAGCAGGCTTGTTTCTTCTCGGAAATTCTCTCTTATGACAAAGCCTGCCAATAAAGCCTACTTCCTCTATAATATGTAGTTGCACTTGTCAGTGTACTGATAGTATTTGTCTATTTCCTAAATATTTTGGAAAATATTAAAAGTGATTTTTAAGAAATGAGGTAAGGATGTAATTTTAAAGTATAAAATGAATTATTGAAGTAGACTTCTGTGTGAGATAACATTGCAATATATTGAAATATGGTGCTAGTGCATACATTTTAAAAATAGGCTATACATAACTAAAATTTCCATATTCTTTGTCAAAGAACATGGTGGATGGATTCTCTATCAGTACATGATCATACAGCAAAAGAAAAGCATTCTCTGTAACTATGTACAACTAAAATACAGTTGAAAAGAGAAAATACATAGTTGGACTTGATCATCACTTGGGAATATGCACTATTCCTTTAATAAGAACTTTTTGAAACATATTCAGCAGTGTTTAATACCAGTACATTGCTATTTATTTCATAATGCTTAATCCTGCGTGTTCCTTACGCTGTTCTCTAATAAATGAACATTTGAAAACACTTTATGTCAATACACGATGTAAATTACACTAATAGCCTACAAAGAACTATTGTAATAACTGATAAATCTCTTGTTAATTATTTTCCTAGCTATTTCATAGTATTTCAATTATTCAGTAACTTTTTGTGTGTGTTAAAATCTATTTCATTTAAGATTCAGTCTGAGTGCTTTATGTTGTCTTGGACTTCAAGTATTGCATTTTTAGCTGAGAGTATCTGGGAGCAGGTGACTCAGTTTGCTATTTGTGACACACCACTAATACAGACATTCAAATTAGTGTTGTTCTAAAAATAATTCTGTAAAAGTGGCTTTGCAAAAGTGATGCCACAGTCAGATCTTTAATATTGCTACCATCTAGAGACCTGATTTTAGAAGGAGACTTGCCAAAGCATTTACTCTTTTATATCCTCCTAATATTCATAAACTACTGGACTACCCACATCAACCGTTACTATAGTCGGACTGCCCATTTGAGAGAGAATATAGAGGACAGGGCACAATATGTTAACTGCTGTGCTCTGAGAAAGACAGTAAGACTTTAGGACAAAAAACAAAACCACAAAAACTGATAGCACTGCAAACTCTTTCATTCACTGAGGCTTACTTCCACTCAAACAAATGAGATTTCTGGCATCGTATACCAAATGAGACATCAGAAAAGTAAGAAATCTTTTAATGACCTGAGCAATATTCATTTTGCTAGCTGCTGTAAACACTTTTCCAATTGTTCTAGATAGGCAGACATAATTGAAATAAATTTTTTAAAACCTCACTAAAAGAACACCATAACCCAATAAAATCTATTTATCACTTTTGATTTCTCTTGCATGATAAGAATCATTCAGAAGGTATAAAAATTCTTACATAATATTCTGATTCCTGGGTATATTGGGTATGGTCTAAGCATAATACTAGTTTTTAAAGTATTGACTCTGCAAAGTTAAACTGGTAAAATGCAGAAAACATGATGAATACAGAATCTTTAGACAATTATGAAACTTAAATATATTTCAAGCTGTGATATTTGAAAAACGTATCATACTTTGTAGAGACTATAATTACCAAGGCTTTCCAATCTGGTAGTGCTGCATCATATTATTTCTACTAGTCAAAACTAGCCAAAACTTGGCTTCATATCTTTGGTTTTTCTATTTGCTGCTTAAGTATCAAATATAGAACTGTTTAAACTTTGAAATATCCCAACAAATCAATATCCAAAAGTGGGTTTGGTCTTAATTGCTTCAGGATTGTATTCTGCAGCACAATGCTAATGTGGTTGTTATTTGCAGAGTTTTGCTTAGATAATTGGTCATCTAATTTCTACTCAAGATTACCTTTGCATATAGGGGGGAAAAATCCTAATGAGTTTGCTGTTTGATTATGTCAGTTGGAAAGCCAATAAGATAATATTAATGAAATCTGCATGTGTGTTTACTATAGCTTTACTGCATTTCTTATTCATGTCTAATTAGATTTGAGTATGTTGAATATTTGAGGTTAATTGAATATTTTCTTTAATAAAAAAGAGATTTGCATGGGTAGAAAGAAATTTACTTTGAGCTTAGAAGGAAACTAATAGTCCTCTAGATTTTTGCATTGAGAAAATTAGGGTTAGTCCATAACTAATCTAAAAAATCATTAATTCTTATAAATAAAAGATTTTATATTATTTGTAACTGAAACAGCTTGACTGTTTTAAAAATGTCTTAACTGACACAGAAGGCTTCATGAGATTTGTTGCTTAAAAAACGTTTGAAGTTTTTCCATACCTCTTGCACGTCCTTCGCTGTCATTGCTTGATATGTAACATACAAGAAGATAATGGAATCTTGTTGAAAAATAATTTAGTAGAACTTCATTGAATTGGACATACGAGATTCTATGAATTTCCCTTTTCATAAGTGGTTAGAGCATGTAACTTGACATTAATTGTTTATTTTGAGTATGACTTACTGACTAGGAATGGTTAGAGGACCTTTTCTTTCTTCCAAGGTCTTGGAACAGAAACTTGAATGGGAGGTTTATATGCTCTAGGGTTATACTGCATAGCTCTTGATTTCCCATGACATTAAGTGTTGTATCTACTGATGGCCATACTGACTGCAGAGAGGAACTGTTGTATTCATTAGTGGTGGGAAGAGTTATTAGAATATCCAAGAATGCTTCAAACACTACTGTCCCATAAATTCAGAGAAAACTGGAACTTGCCAAATTGTGCTTACACCATGACTTTGTCCTGATGGGGTTTGTTCTGGTGTGGTTTGGTTTTGATGTTAGAGTGTGTTACAGATCATAGTAAGCAATTAATATTTTAACATTTTAATACAGTTTAAAATTGTGTCTTGGAAATTATTCATTTCCAGTCATGCCACAATATATGCTTTAAAGTGAATGTAATGGCAGTGTCACTGTCAGAAAAACATAGGGAAACATGTTGCTCCAAGCAAACAAAACCCAGTCCTCCCTCACGTATAAATGCATCTATTGATACTTGACTCTTAGTTTCAGCAAAATAAACATCTTTCTTGTCAAGGCCACAATTACTGAAATGACAAAGGTAAGGTTAGTACACAAATGTTGTTAACAAAAAGCATTTGTATTTTATTAAATAGGAAGACTTAACTACAAAAATGCTGAGGTGGCAAGAAAGTTACTAGAAAGTAAGATTGGTTGAAGGTCCGAAATGTGTCCTTATCACTGTATGCAGTGGTTCTAGAGAACAGGCAGGAAAAGGAGAAGAAAGATTTTCAAATTTTTGCAAGGATTTCATATGACATTTAATAGGAAAGCTTTTGCTCTTGAGAGAACAGGTGGTTATTTGAACAACATGAAGTACAAGAGTAAGTAGACCAAAGGAAGGGAAGGTGGGAGAGGGATGGTGGGGGTTGTTTTTTATTAAAAGTAAACTTCTGAGTATCCATATTCTAAAGGGTGGATTCCTCAGTACAATTCAAATGAAAATATTAAGGCCTTGCATCAGAAAACATTGTTATACATTTTTGTGTTTATTCCTTTTCTCCATCAAGGCTCAACACTGTATGAGGCATTTTTCCCTCATCCTTGTAATGAAACTCTGCTTCAGCACGTAGTTGTTCAGTTTTGTTAGGAAGTGAATTATGAAAAAAATATGCTATAACAGAACCAGCTATGTTAATGTTTGCGATTGCAGTGATTTTTAACAAGATTCTGGGGTCATTGTAATCTTCAGGTTTTAGTGCTTCTTTAGGAAAAACTTTAAAATTACAATTTTAGATGCAAACTGTCGCAAGGTAATTTTGAATGATTTTTGCAATTAATTGGATAGAAATACAAGATGTTCTGTGCCTTGGAGCAATGTTACAATTTTAAGCTCAAGCAGTACAAAGGGATCTATCAATAATGAAAGCATGTTATTCATCAGGATCTAAAAATTTATTTGCACTATGGTTAATCATTTTCCCCAGACTTAAATGGAGTTCTTGTGCTGACTGTTTTACTTGCTAGTCTGAATTTTTCCATTTCAAGAAATGAATTCAAACTGTTTAGGTTTGTAAATAATTTCCATTCAAAATTGTTTTAGATACAGAATTAGTAAACTTAGGAAATTCCATTTGGGATGCTTATGGGGAAGGGAAGAGTCTGTTGATGTGGCAGCTCCTTTGAAGTTCTTTGGCTGTCCATCTGTCTCCCTGCTGCCTCCCCATCACTTCCTGTGGTGGCCGTAGGAGCACTCGGCCATGAGAGTAGCACATGTGGAAAGTCATTCGCATGCCCAAAAGAATAGCAGATGGCAGTAACGGCTTCTTTTAACCTGTCTAAGAAAGTAAGAATATTGTGGGTGGAAACTAAAGATTCCAAGATAGAGCACCAATGCTTTGCTTTCTGTTAGTAGAGAAAAAGGTGTTAAATTGCAGATTGCTTGGATTGAATGGTTCAGATACCAATTGTACTGGCTGTTTGCTAAAAGTAACTAATTTCTAGTAGCGATTTTGCTGGCCAGGTAAGAGTTGAGGAGCAGTTTTGGAGAAAACTAGAGAGCCAGTAGCTCTGGAAGGTGTGCTTCCTAGAAGGACTTTTACAGACATATGTCCTTCAGTAAATCCCTCTGCAGGGAATTAATTTGAGCCTTCCTATCTCTCTTTCATACTCCTGTATTCCAATACCTTCTGCTCCTTGGTAGAATTGGTAATTTCTGCTTGTACAAAAAAGTTTATTTTGGACAGTAGAAGAGAGTTTGAAATGCATTAAAGATTTCTGTCGTCTCATAGGAAAAGGAAACCTTAATGTGATGTGGAGAGTGAAAAAAAGCGCGTTTGAGTACAGTGGCAGAGTAACTAGAAGACAGCGAGGCATGTAAATATTAAAGATGTGAGAATTTAAAGACAGACAAATTTCTAGCTCCTCCTCCTGCCCTCAAAAACAAATGAAAAGTATTCATAAGAGCTATGTTTGTTTCTCAGAGGGTTATATTCATTCTAGTTCCGTCCTAGAAAATTTTTTTTAGCTGCATTTTTTTTTATAAAAAAGTAATTCCTTTAACACTGTTTTTCAGTTTTCTCGTCCAGAATTTTTATGATCTTTCACAGTGGTTTACTGATACTTGTAGGCTGATACCATTTGCAAGAAAGAAGCTACTTTCTTAATATAAGATGCCCAAAAACTTCTTAAAGAATTTCCTAAAACCCTGTTTCTCATTCTTTTACTGTTTTTCCAAACCAAGGCTCTTTTTCACTGTAGGTCATATTAATGGTACAAAAATTAAAAGCTGGTCTTTGTGTTTTAAATTTAAACAATAAAAGCCTTTCAGAGCACTTGCACACACTCCCAAGGCTGTGGATTTTCTCTAGTCCATTGGTCTAGATGTTTCTCTTATTGAAATATTGTGGCAGGAAGAGGGGATTAAATTACTGAGCTGTCAAAAAGGACAAGCACTCTGCCATACATTATCATTATCACTAGCTTCCTCAGTGGAAGAAAATGCAGTAAATCACTTGAAATACAAAGCAATAAAGACCACTGGCTTTTAAAATCATGACTGCTATTGCCATTAACAGGAAATGACAGCTATGTGGCATGCTTGGATGCTGCTTGTATCTTTTTTGACAGTGTGCACATAAACCTGCCAGTGACACACCATTAGATCACATGACCTTTCAAATTTGATTCTAACATTGTTGCTTTTCCTTAGGAAAGACAAGGGAAAGAAATGTCTGCTTTTCTTAGTGATTTTCTTAGTGCTCTTTCTTCTAAAAGATGAAAAACAATTGTTAACTAATTATATTCCGATTTGCTTTGCAGTGATACATGTGGATAAAGCAAATAATCGCGCAAGAAGAGAGTATCTCAAGTCTATGCTTCTGAAGCCAGATCTACATACTGACAGGTACTTACTAGTGCTGAAAAACTCTATAAAAGTTCTTTGTAAATGATGCTTATGGTTTGGCTTCTTGTTTGACTTTATTAAGGAGGTATCCCTGAGAAGTTAATACATAACTAACCAGAGAAAATTTTGTTTCAGCTAGGAATGATACCCACATTCTGATGTGGCAATTGGTCTAGGTTTCTTCCCTGAGTAGGTTCATGTGGTACAGAATATTGCAACCTCTCTTAATGTTGTTTCACTGCTGTGTTTTGGTTTGGTTTTGTTCAACAACCTCATTTTGCAAAAGAGAGATTCTGTCATCAGCATTCTATCAATAATGAATTCATAAAGCACATATTTGCCTGATGGAAGAGTAATACAAATGTTGCTTTCTGAATTCAGAGTACAGGAAGGAGTGTAAGACCTTCAGAAAGTGTTCCTTGGCCCTAGAATTTCCAAAAAACTAGATAGACAGACAGACAGACAGATAGATAGAGGTAGCAGGCAGCTGTTACACAAATACATGAGAAAGAGTATAAATTAGTCTTCTCCAAGCCTAATAATAAATCTGTTCTTATTCAAATTTTTTGGTTGAGATAGCATGCATGTTACTTTTAGAGAATGAATGACATCCTTTGATTCCGCTTCCTTCTGAAGCAGAAATGTCTTCATTAAAATGGAACAATTATTAATTTGAAGAGTCATTTAATATGCAGAAGACTAGAATACCTGCTGGTTGTATTTGAAGTGTAGGAGTTACTTGTAAACTTTTAAATATGTACTTATTCACAAATCACAGATTCACTCTGCAGTAAGAAAGAGAATGATCTCTGTTCATTCCGTTTCGCTTCTAAAGCAGAGTTTCATGTCTGGGCCAGAAAACAGATTTTACTGGAATGGAGCAGGGAACACCATGAAATGATTGCTTGTTGGGATGGAAATATCATACCAAACCATGCTTAGGTTTGGAGATTTAAGAAAAAAAAAATAGTCTTCACTTAATAAGCAAGCTAGAGGACTTATTTTACCATATAGATTAGGAAAGTGACTAACGTGTTCTAGTAAGAATTTAACAATACTGAGGACAAAATAGTTATCTTTTCCTGAGGATGATGATTCAGCAATGGAAAATAGTCTGTGGGCTGCAATTTCACCTATAAATACTTATATATCTATACTAAATATTTAACAAAACTTGAGGTAAAAATAAGGTGAAGTAAGGTAAAATAACAGCAGCAAGCTTTTTCCCACAGCAGAAGCATTCATCTTTTACATGTGTCACCATGGTACTGTCCTCTTAGTTACTAGACAGGTAGTTTTCTGTATTTATTGGTGTGTCTAGTTTGGTCTGTGGTGAAATTTCAGTTCTGTGTTGACTAAATAGCAAGGCAGGAGGTTCATCAGTAGTCCAGTTCCCGACTTATCATAGTAAGAGGACCACCAAGAAACAAAATTTATGGAAAGATTCTGCCTATACATCAAATGTTTTCAAGCCTATGCATTTTAAACCTGCCCTAGTTATATCTTCAACACATGTTTTCTATCACAAGCCTTACAAACTAATATCAGAGCTTTTTCAGCTGAAACAGGAACTGAACTAAAGTAATGCTTTAAAACTCAGGAAACCAAATTATCAAGGATATAAATATCATTGAAAATTGCCTGCACATGGTTTCTCCTTAACACTTTGTGTTTGTGCAATGCCAGATTATAGGAGCATAGATAGTGTATTATGTGTATGAAGTGGTGTATGAAGTTTTCAGGTGAACTTTCTCCCTTTCACAATAAATTTTACTAGAAATGGTACTCATAATGATTTGGTACATATTAGAACATAAATAAGTAGACACATCACATACTATTTTTATCTTCCAAAAGGAGAATCACTTTAATAAATGTCCTTTGAATAAGATAAATATTATCAGGTGTTAAAATAGATATTAATATGATACATAAAATTACTGTGAACCCAAAGCTGTACCTATAGCCTAATCCTATAGTTGAAACAGGAGCCAGCTTGGCCCTGAAAGTAATGCATTTCACAGCTTTATTCTCTTTTAGTTTATACTTATAAATAAGTAAATTTAGATTGACATGGCATTTATATGGGAAAGAATGTTTATTTCATAGAATCATAGAACCATTTAGGTTGGAAAAGACCTTTAAGATCGTTGACTCCAGCCATAAACCCAGCACTGCCAAGTCCACCAGTAAACCATGTCCCTAAGTGCCACATCTACACGTCTTTTAAATACCTCCAGGGATGGTGACTCAACCACTTCCCTGGGCAGCCTGTTCCAGTGCTTGTCAACCCTATCAGTGAAAATATTTTTCCTAATATCCAATCTAAAAGTTGTTGACAGTGGGGTTTACTATTCATTAAAAGATAAGATTTCAAAACAAAGTTGATCTTTTCCCTTCTTTCAATTTCATTTCTTGATATGGAATCATTGTGTTTATTAAAAATGTTGATTTTAGTTCCACATTTGAATAAATGGTTTTAGTGGCAGAAAATGCAAGAATATTCAGTATTCAAGAAAATCAAAATATGCTGCTAAATAGAATGATATAAAACTAAAATATATGCGCACAAGGTAGTAGGAGACTAGGAAGACTGAAATCCTATTTAGGTCAGTAATTGTTGCATACCACAAAGACGGTTCATCTCTTTTGACAACCACCTTTGTCTTTATGTTTTCAGACAGCCAATGTCTCTATCAATAATGTGGAAATTTTGTCAGAACACTTGCTTTATCTTATACCTGTATTGTGTGACATGGGTAGCCTTTTTGTTTTGTTTCTTCTTCTATGTAATAGGGATTCAAATTAGTCAAATCCTTATTTATGTTAGGAAGCTATACTTACTAATATTTGTAAAACTTGGGGGGAAAAAAAGATACAAAATTACTATGTTATTTTATCATCTGAATCCCATAGTTATTTACTTAGGTGTTCACGTCTTTAAATAGGTTGATAACAGGAGGCATTTCTGGCAGTCCATTTAACTTGCTGTAACTGTGTCAGAGTTATCTTTTATTCTTCATCCTGTTTGTATTCCACTGTTGCCTTTCAGCATTCTAAGAGTGCAGAAATTTGGGTCAGATGGAGAAACTTACCTGACTGCTCATGCCAGATGGTACTTGCAATGCTTGCAGACCTGACGGTAGAGTATATGCTCTTCTGACAAGTGTCAAAAGAGACATGTGTGAAGAATGGAGGAATCCATTCTTCTAGCAGTCACCCTGCTGTGATAACAAGAGTGAACAGGTTTATGCAAGAGGTTTCCAGGCTGATCCTGACAGGTGCGTCATTTCTTGGTAGGAAATTATTGTTACTCCAAGAAACTGACTTTATGAAATCATTGTTCTCCAAAGTAACAAAATCTATGCAGCTATGTAATAGGAGAATAAAGCATCTGTATGTTGTTAGCTTCACATTAATAGGCTATATTAACACACAAGGTTTTCTCCTTGGTGCTTAAAAATGACTGATCTCTGGAATAAAGAATTAGAATCAAATTTGCCTACATCACAGCTTTTGTCCAGGCACTCTAAATTCCCTGCTGGTGATAACACTTTCAGTGTTGTCATAACAACAACAATAAATATTTGTCCAGGTTTTTCTGCTTCATTGCAAAGCGCATTTTAAGCTTAAGGCAATTATTATTTTTTCCTTTTCTTTTCGCCCTTTATTAGCAGGCAAGTTTCATTTAATTCTCTAGTATTTCTTGCAGTGGCTAGCAAATATCTTCCCACACAATACTTTTAACATGATGTCAAGATTTCTTCTTATTCTGTCAGTAGCCATGGGATTCCTGGAAGGAAGCGAGTACTGATACCTCGTGTTATAGAAAAGTGAAATAAGCTAGAGAGAAAGTCTAGGTTCCTAGAGAGAAGTATGGGAGAGGAACACTGTACATGACTTTATGTAAGAAATCCTAGTATGAATTTGATATTCCAACTTCCATCAAATTTTCTTACATAAGTGAGGCAGTATTAAGGTAGGGTGGGACACCAGCTGCACATTTGTGTGTTCTGTGCTGAAGCAGAGTGAGGAGTCTGTTCACATGCAGTATGTTCCAGGGCAATGTAAACTGTGTCTTTTTAGTCAGTTTAAACTGAAAACAAAATTCTTGCAATTTTTGGTAAATGAAGAAAACAATTTAAAGCATATTGAATATCAGAATCAAATCTTTTCTAAATTTAAAGCATTTGTAATATTTTTTAAAAATACAAAATTCAAAGTGATTGTGGTACCATTCTTGCAGTCGTCTACTTGGAGTATTCTCATGGGAATCAGAGTTCAAATCTGCTCCTTCCTGATTAGCAGCAAAGATTTGATCCAATATTGTAATCTTTTAGGCATATTGGAACTATAAGCTGTTAGAAGTGCAGTTCTTTTTTATCTGTTTTGTTGAAGCTTGCTCTGTTAATGTAAAATACTTGCATATGATTTGAACCAGAAAATAAACCAGTATGAATGACTTTGCACTTTGGCTATAAGGTCCTCTCCCAAATGTTACTAAACCTGCTTTTAGTTTATACTTGAGTGAAAATTTTAGTAGTAGTTAGTACCCTTAAGTGATTAAATTAATCCAGCACTAATCTCCTCCTCTTCTATCGCTGTCTTAACTTCTAAGCTGGTTTGTCCAGTTGATTTCATTTAGCATTGACACTGAATCATAACAAAACAGATCTGTTCCAAATACCCAAGAGCTTTGTCAGTTATTATTACAATTTGTAATTTGTTCTTATTTCATTTATATTTATTGCACACATCTACATATTTCTTCCTTCTTTATTGAGTTTTGGCAGATTTGCTGCTGCTTAGCTCTGTGCCAAAATCTAAAGTTCGATCTATTACACTCAATCAAGCAATCTGCTGTTGGAAATAGCTGTGATATTTTTCCTTTTTTGCCTCCAGAATTTTTTTTTAAAGACACATATTTTCAATAAGTGAAATCAAATAGATTTCAGTGACAGATATTTTTATATATATTTTCTTTAATGCATATTTCTTAGTAAGAGCCCAGCACAAAAATAAACTACTATAAAAGCATATTGCAGTTGTTATGTTTAAAGTCTTTTGAGAATATTTGATTATATTTTTTCTAAGATGTCCTTTCCTGTAGACTTCCATTTTACGCAACTTGATTGTTACTCATTTGAAATGATGCTTATTGTAACATTTTTAGGCTGTAAAACTCACAAGAATTCACAGTTTAAACAACATTGCCAAGACATACCAAAACAGTAATTGGCTCTGAATTCCTGTCATTTTGTCAGTCTCGGTGTTTTTGGCCCCAACACAAGCCACTAACTCGAGTCAGCTCCAGCACAATACTGGAATTACATGTTTAAATGAAAAGCCATACTTGGATGCAATGAGTGTAATTTAAGTTCACAGAAGAAATGCAAATATTTTATATAGTTGTTCGGCTTAGATTTTTGTGATGGACAAACAGGCTGTGCTTAGACAGCATGATAGATACTCAAAGGCCTTTGTGTCCAGGCTGTACTCACGGGTAGTTTAAGTGTAAAAGAGGAACAAAATAATGAAGATAAAATATGGTATGTGTTGGTCATGGGGAACAAATGCAGGACAATTTGCTGTGTAAGGTCCAACTTTAAATAATGACTAGACAAGACAACATGAGAAAGATGCTATTTTGAGAGGACTGCCTTTAGGTTCCTGTTATTTTTGTGGAATGTGTTCGTGGCTAGAATATGCTCTCCAAGTATCTAAATGAGGTGTGAAAATTCTCAGTGACTTTCACCTAAGTATTTTACACTTGGTGTTTGGAAATACTTCATTGAATATGGCTAGTGTTTCTGACATCAAGAGAAAATTTGATATGGTTTTTCTTTCTCAAATATTTATCTCATGTCTTCCATGCTACTCCGTGTAAAGCCAAGAAAATGCGTGGCTTAAAATTTACTAAGCCTAGACCTAAATGATCTGGTTGTGCAGACCAGAGAACCTTTAGCGCAAAGCAGTTGTTGCTAATTGGCTGATATTCACAGTACATCGATTTTTTAGGATGTTTTTGAGAGTTAGGATGGTAGCCGACTGTGTTGTTTGAATGTCTGTTGCACTGGAGGGCATTAGGGGTAGGTACTCCTGGAGCACATCTTCAGTTTAGTCCAGTCCCAACAGGAATCCAATTAACATGTTCCACGACTACTGTGCAAATAAAGCACGGTAACTGGGGGCAACTGACAAGTTTTACTTCATAAGCATGCTCCACATCAAAGTTGATATAATCATACAAGTTCATCTTATGTGGCCTGACTAAATCAAAGTAGTTGAACTTTTGAAGTTTATGGGATTAAAAGGTTTTAACCAACAAAATGTAATAAAGTTTACTCTAAGCCTTTCATTGTTGCTTATGATTTTTTTTTTATTTCTTCACGCAAATAATTTGCATGGTATGGTCAACACAGTAAAAATTATTTAAAAGAAAGTAAAATAAAAAAAACACAAAACAAAAAAAATAGATTTTTATATCTTTTATAAATTAGTTTTGCTAAAAGCATTAAATTACATATGTACAATTTTGATTTTTACCTGTGGGGGTAAATACAAAGAAATTAAGTGACTTGAACAGTTGATTCAGCAGCTGAGCTAAACAAACTTACAAGTTTGAAATGTGAAAAAGTCTTTAATCCTTACATTATTCCACCTGTCACTGCCACATGAACAAGAATGGTGCCACAAGGTGGTGGGGAGGGGGGAGAATAATGAAAAAATTCTATAAGCCTGCAGATCTGTGGTTACAGCACCTTTGTCCCTTTAGTACTGCTAAATAATGCTAAAGAAGGAGAGAACATTTAAAAGAAAGGGTCTCAGACTATTCTTGTCATGGAAAAAGTTGAATATAATTGATAAAGAGTTCTGGTTTATGCTTCACTGGTGAAGTAGAGCGGATTTTTTTGCCTTTTTACTGTTTTTTGAGTTAATTTTCAACACTTTTTGAAGGTAAAAAAAAATCACATAATTTTTTTTCTATGCTTAGCCTACGATTTACAGTGGTCAGCGATCCCCCAGAAGATGAACAGGATCTTGACTGTGAAGATATTGGTTTCGCTTATGTCAGTTTGAGAGAGATATTCCAGAAGCAAAGAGATATCATTGAGCAAGATATTGATGGTAAGTTTGAGATGACTTTGGTGCAACCTTGTTTACCCTAAAATTATTTGTTGAACCTCTGCTTTTCTCTGCAAGCTTTACTGTGCAAGTAATTGTTTGACATAGTTTCAATGAGAAATTCTTTAATATTAACTAATGGCTTCCACATTTGTTTGCAAAAGTCTGTAAAAACTATGAACTATTGTTATTCCTTAAAATCTGTTTTAAAAAAACCCAAACCAAACAGAATTCCTAGCTCACAGTAATTCATTTATAAAACCTAAGAACTGTCAAGACATATGCCCGCTTACTGTAATTTTCTATTTTGTACGACATACTTTATGCTACGAAGTTGATAAATTTATTTTTTATTATTAAAATTTGTGTCAGTAATTTTGTATTGCTAATGTCTATGTCTTGTTTGAAGTTATGTTATAACCCCCAGAGTACCTCAAGCTTGTGTCCTCCATATGAAACCCGTATCTGAGACAGTATGAAATACTGGTGGCTTTGGTTAGGTATTAGTTTAGAGTAAGCATCCTTCTGTAACAAGACTGTGACCAAACTTTCACTGTGACTAATTGAAGCAAGGTGAGGTGAGTAGGAGATATGGAATCTTCAGTTCCTGGGTATTACAACATGATTTTTATAAGGCTGATAAGAAGAGTCAAGAAGACTTCTGGGTCCTTGCATATACAGGGAAGGAAAATATTCCCCCTTGCTTAGACTTTCCTATTCCCAAGGGTAGCAGGGACATGGTTATCAACGGTGCATTTTTCTCCTTACCTGTTCCTCTCCATCCTCTTTTCCAATTGTGGTAAAGCTCGGTGAAGAATCTGAGAGTATATTTGTTATAAAACAGTTACTCTCCTATAAAGGTAAGCGAACCAGCTTGATTACTAGACGCAGTGCACCCAAGTTCACAAGGACTCTTTGCAATAGCAAGAATTCTAGTTAGCCCTAGTAGAATGCCAAGCTAATGTGGCTTTACTACTTCTACTGCTGTGTCTAATTACCATGCCTTGAGTGATGGGGAGCTGAGTAGTGAGGGAAGGAAGTAGGCTTTCTTATCCATTTCCATTATCATGCATGATCTGCATTTATGCTACAGCTAAAATACTCAAAGCATGCATCAAAGTTCCAGGAACATAAGTAAAATTCTAGAAGAATCAAATTTCCATACTCTGGAAAAATAATATACAGATTTGATGCACTTCTTACTGTGGCTGAATCACTTAATCTTTTCTCCACCAATAATTTTTCCACAAGTAGTTGTATGAAAGCACATCTCCTCCAAAAAGGTGTTTCGTAATCTCTCACTGGAAAATTGTTTTTGTTCTGGATTTTATGGCCATAATTCCCATTCTCATGATTCCCATTTGGAAAGACTGATTAGTGGTATAAATATAATCTTGTACCCTTGAAAGTTATCTTTCACAGCACTCCAAATCATCAACGGAGATAATTATTATGACAGGAAGGACTGTTTTTTGTTACTAGTTATTATTCTGTCAAAACATAATCATTACTATGTAATGACAACTATTTCAATATTGTGAGGAGCATTTCTTCTTCTTAAGACATTTGAAATAATTCTTACTTTCCGTACATTATATCTAGGAAATTGATAGTAATAGATAGAAATTATCTATCTGTAGTTTCCTTACCCTGAAGATGCTGTACAGTTTAGATTTTTTTTTTATTGCATCCATAACCATATTTTCTGAAAACTTAGAACTTTCAGAGAATTGAAATTAATTTTACATTAACATATGTCAGATCATGAGAAAAGCAGAATATATCGGTGTATTTTCTTGGACGAAGTCATTGTAAAAGGATCGGTTCTTACGATCTGGACACCAACTTTGATTAAATGTAATGGCACAATAAATATAATTCCTAAATAATATTGTACATGTTCTCTGAAGTGTATAGTGATTTGAGGGGAAAAGAATAAATGTAGACACAGGGAAATTCATGGGACGCTACTACATGAAGATCTAATCATTAATTGGGATACCATAATCTTCCTTCATTCTTTCAGAAGACTGAAAGTATACATTTTTTTCATAACTTGTTCCTTTCGTTGCCGATTGAGTGACAATGGCCTACATGAAATTTGAAGCAATTAAGTGAATGGCTAAGCAAAAGGCTGGATGAAAAAGACTGTAGACAAGACATATAACAATGTCTCAGAGATCATATGACAATATTAAAACTGAGAAAATAGAATTAATTTTATCTCCTGTTATCATTAGTTTGTTATCCTACTGTTCTTAGAAGTAAAAAGAATAATGTCCCCTGAAGTCTGCTCTGTAAGTTGATGGTTCAATGAGTGATTTGTCCAAGGATGTACAAAATGGTTTGAGTCTTGAGGAATAGCGTCCAGTCTGTCCTGTAACAGCTCTATCAAAAAAGTAAATGATGGAAGGTTTATCCCATGTTTTTCCTTCTCCAAACCTCTTCTGAGCTGTCCCAGCAGCCTAGAAGTTGTAGCGTGCAGTATCATCTCATGTCCCAGAGTACTTACCCCAGTTTATACAGTAAATACACAACCTTGCCATTTGTCTGCTGTATAGTTTGCTTTGAAAAGATGTGCTGTCAAGATTATTTGTTTTTAGTCAAATTCCTGCTAGAGTCCTGTTAGGCAGCCGTATTGCTTTTTATGCAGGACTGGGAAGGAGCCTCATTTTTGACTGTTAGCAGCATGTTTTTAATCACTGCAGCAGAGATTGTGGCCCTCTGGGCTTACTTAAATATTGTAAAAGAGTGCAATTTTAATTCATGTTCGCTGATTTCTGTAAAATAGAAATTTTAAATACTACTCTAAAAGCCACATACACAAAGATGAAGGTAGTTAAAATAGTTTAGGGAAAATACCATCTTTGTCTACAGTATTTTACAACACACAGAAGCCTGGAATTAAAATAATTTTGCATTGCACCAACCGGAAAAAAATATTTACTATTTAAATACTAATAACTGTCCAGGCTGATTTGGACCAGTCATACACACAGTATAGATAATGCATTAATCAGTATACTTTTTACTTAAAAGTATTTATAAGTATGCATATATGTCTTTAATAGAGTTTGGAACATCTGTATTTACATATTGTGAAAAATAATGAATTTATGTAGGCAATTATCATACAGATAGTTTTCTTTATTTCAAAGTTAATGCCAACACCAATACTTTTATTGGTGTACATTCTAGTTCTTAGAGTGCTTGGTTTCCAGTAGGCTGAGTGCCTGAATTGGAAGGTTTCTTTTTTTCTTTTTTTCTCTTTTTTTAAGCATATGCTAGGTGCCTTTTAATTTGTCCAATTACTAAGGAAAATTATCAGAACAAACCCAAAACCTTAAATGAAATTGCTAATGCTGTTTTCTTATGTTTCCTTTCTAGTTTTCGATTCACAAGATGATAGTGCAGTAATTGGAAAGCTCAAAGTAACAGTGGAAGCCCTCGATGCGCTGTGTTCAGTCTATGAGGAATGCAAACATGACTGCAAGGCATGAAAGGGAAGTTTGCCTACAGAAGTTCCTTCTCCCAGTGTAAATATATGCTTGATAGTGCTTCAAAGATGATATCTTTGTAATTCTTACAGTGTATTTAATGTATAATTTATATGAAAAGGACGCTTGATTTGTAGTTGTAAAGTTTTGTATACTTTTCAGTCTGTTTGTTTTTATATTTCCCCCCTAAGGCTAAGAATCTCTCCACAATGGACAACGTCTTGTAAATAAGTAATACCTACATGATTGAGTGATGTGCTTTATTTGCATTTTCAAGATTTTTTCCTACATAAAACAGTAATAAAAATGCAAGTCAAATTTTTAATTTTTAATAAAAAAAACCATAAGCCTTAGAAAACTGATTAAAAATACTTTTATGTTATCCCTAATCACCCCACTAAATGGAATGCCTGTGATTAGCCTCATTAAGAATTTTATACTGTGAAGATTTTATTAAAAGCAATATATGAAAATTACTTGGATTAATGTGTTAATCTGCCTCTTTAAAATGCTAATATCCATTTTATGCACATTAAATCTCAGTATGTGTTTTCTTTGATGCGTGCGGTTCCTATCAATTAAATATAAAAAATGAGGCTAGTTGCAGGACTTATTAAATTATTGCAACCTTTTTTTTTAAACAACTTCTACCCTTCTACTAACATTATAATCAGCTGTTTATGATTATCATGAGTTGAAGTAGGGGGAGGGAAGGCACAGTCATTTTTCTGTACAGTAAAAGATTTACTTTCAGCCAACATCTGTCGAAGCACAAAAAGAAGCCATACAATGTCAGACTTTGCTTCACTTGGTTTGAGCTGTAGCGACAGGCAACTGTATTTTCATTTGGTTCTGGTCACTTTTAGAATTTACATCAAACATATACAGTGAATTGTTGTGTCTGAATAACCAGTGTCTAGCTTGGAAAGTTAATTTTCCAGCTCTTAACCAATCTCAGTGAAGGATTTAATTGATATTTTTAATGGAGCTGTGAATCAAAAAAATGCTGTTAAAGGATTGTCTCTTGAGAATGAGGCTATAATACATTTCATTTTTTAATTTAGTTTTTTATTTGTCATTTTCTTCAAAGGATTTTATAGGCTGTGGATTTCCACTGTTTGCAAACAGGCTATGTTTCTTCATAAGCATATGTAAAGCATTCAGAGAGATAAGTAATTTATTAAAATCTACCTAATTTGCCGTGATATATTAAATCTCTGCTTCAGTGATCACAGACCATTTCATTTAGAGAATTAGGCATTCCCTCTTTGTGTGATTAAAGCTCTGGAAAATGAGTTCTTTGCTCCTATTTGTGAACATTCAAAGCTTGCTAATGGCAAGAAGATGGAATAGATTATGAGACAATTCATTACAGTTCAACATAAAAAACAAATCAGCTATAATGCAGAAATGCAAGTATGAATATCTGCATATAGTTTGAACCATCTGTGCTCTAATGGCTTCAATAATGCCTCTTCGTCTTCAGTAGGCTTTGAAATTACATCCATGCAATATTAATTTGTTGATGTACATTATGAGGCCAATGGAATGAATATATTCTGACCACAGAAATCTCTGAATTCCAGCATGAACTGATGGTCCATTTTAGGACCTACCGTCTTCAGCAGTACTTCTCATCCAGACTTTGCCAATCCCGCAGCATTTCATTGCTCAGGAACTTTTAGGAGACCACAGACAGCTGCATTCCTAAACCCCTCCATTCTTCAGTTAATGGCCATGTGTTTGTTGTCATTTGGGCTGGCACTTAGTTCATCATTTTGGCCTCTATTTCTAGCTTTTTTTGGCTCTGTGCATCTATGTTGTCAATAAGACTGTTATTATACATTACAATAATTTGAAACAGCTAGATTCAACACTGAGATTAACTGAGTGGCTATTTAGAAATTTAGTTGTGGTATTCTGTCAGGAGGTTCTTATTATTCTTCTAATACTTTGCAAACCAAACTAAAAACCCTGCACATAAACAAAGAAGGAAATTGTATTGAGTTTTCTTGTGTGACTGTTTACTGACTTGCAGGAGAACTATGTAACTGGTGCTTGTTTTCTTCTGAAATAAACTATGTGGTAAAATTAGAAAATCAGTGATGTTCATCTCACTTAAACATTTACAGTAACACCCTTAGCACTGACTCTTTGCCATCTGAAGTTGAAAACTTAGAAACCAAGCATTCATATATTCATTAAAGACAGGCCTCTTCAGTAAGTTACTGCAAAATATTCCAGTTGACATTTGGTAACATTGTGTTAACTGTTCTCAAGTGACTCCAACATTAACATGTATAATTTGCCTCAGGTTCCTAAACATATTTCTTGGTAAGGCTCACTACTACTCAGTTTTTGATTTTAAAAAAATCTTGATTTCTATTCATGTTTATTACTAAGACAGATGTAATTCAGTGAGGATTTTTCCAACAGATGGATTGTATTATCTTATGCAACATAAACATACAAATGTACTAGAAATTTTTGTTCTTTCATTAAGTAGTCTGTATTTCTAACATGCTCTTATAATCTTAAATCTAAATGCTACCCTGTGCAGGGAAAGTGGAAAATGTAATCTAGTACTATTTCGTCCAGGTTTTAACTATGAATAATAGCTTGAAGAAAGCTTACATCTATGTACTCTCTAGCCTAAGGCAAAAAGTATCCTTTTTTTGTGTACAATATGTTAGTAAGCACGATCCTTTTTGCATTTCATAAAAGGAGCCTTATTAATGCTGGGTACTACCATAAGTTAGATAAATTCTTTCTATGATGTAACTTGGATGCAACAGTGGTCCTGCATAAGACGAATTGGTGTGCTGGTTTTGGCTGTGATAGAGTTAGTTTTCTTCGTAGTAGCTAGTATGAGGCTATGCTTTGGATTGGTGCTTAAAGCAGTGTTGCTAGCACAGGGATGTTTCCATTACTGCCGAGCAGCGCTTACACAGAGTCAAGGCTTTTACTGCTTGTCCTGGGTTTGGCCAGAACAGGGTTAATTTTCACCGGAATCCAGGAAGGGGCACAGCCGGGGGGG